ACATATACACACACACACACACACACACACACACACACACACACACACACACACACACACACACACACACACACACACACACACACACACATACACACACACACACACACACACATTACTGCTTTCTGTTCTTATCTGTTGAAAATTTATTTTTATTCTATTTAACTAATTGATGAGTTATTTAATTACCTATTGAAAAGTGGCGATATATTTGATGTAAAAAATAATTAAACGTTACTAATAAAGTTTACCTTAATTTTAACCTTTAATTCATTTCTAATTATTTTTCTACTAATTATCTTATTTCATTCTTTTACAAATTTAAATTACATTGTTAATATTACGATAATTATGTGATAAAAAGGAAAAATTAATTATAAATGAAATTTATTTATTATAGTTACTGAATATTCAGTAAAATAAATTGCCTTCCATTCCGGGAGTCCATAAAATTTGGACGAGGCAATAATGGACTGTTTAGCCTTTCTGTCACATTTTTTAATATTTATTACCATCATTCTAACAACCTACTTTGGTGATACGGAAAAAATCGACCAGGAATATGATAATTATCAGGAATTTGTTGTTATCGAAGGACGTAAGTTAATGGCTGTTCCATTTTTGTTTACATTCATCTTAATATTTCAATATAAATGAAATTAATTGTATTTGTTTATTCGAAGATATAGAATTGCTGATAAAGAAAAATTAACAAATTTACCTTGGATTAATTTCTCTTCCTCACTATATTTTATTATTATAACTAATCTAGAGCATGGCCTCTTTCCGACAATTTTCAATTTGGCAACAAATGCGCTAATTTATGCTGATGCTACCTGTGGCCAACACCGTCGCGAAATTTACTGCAAATTAGTGGAGCATGTTTTTAATAGGTTCTATTTTATGAATATAAAATTTCTGTATTATAAGAAAAAATTGTTAGTCACTGTTCGCGATCTCCAAGTATCATCTATCTATTAATTTGATCATCAACACAAGTACATGGAACATTCTCATTATCTTCACTTACCTTTTCTTATTTGTTCTTATTTTAATGTTACATTTCGGAATTTTATTTGAATAAACTTATCCGAAATTATTTGTAGACAACCGCAATGTGATGTTTGTGATGCAAAAGATGTGAGAAAGCGCCATCCAATTGAATTTGCAATTGATGGTACTCGACGCTGGTGGCAAAGTCCATCGCTGGCTAATGGTCTTAATTACGAACGGGTCAATATCACCATTGATCTCAGACAGGTATGACTTATTTCCATAACTTCATCTGCCATGGCAATTCCTTATGAATAACTCACGAATAGACGAGCTAAGAAGATAATTTGAAGTGCAATGCGGTATTATCAAAAATTAATTTTTTTTTTGCAAATATTTCTTTTTATCCAAAATTTGGAAATTAGTTGGAGTAGTTGGAATGATAAAAACGGATATATGCTGCTAAAAGCTAAATCATAATGATTATCATTCATAATAATTATCATTTGATAAGATAAAACTAAGAAATTAAATCGTAGCTAAAAGACGAAAACGAAAGAATGAATTTAAAGGAATATCAAGTGGCATATGTAATTGTAAAAAGCGCAATTGCACCTCGACCTGGAACTTGGGTACTGGAGAAATCACTTGATGGTATTAACTATCAACCATGGCAGTATTACGCAATCAGTGATGCGGAATGTATGCGACAATTCGATGTACCAGCAACCACTGGTGTACCACGATTTACGCGAGATGATGAGGTTCAATTCTTGTTGAAAATAAATGAAAAGAGTTGGGAAATAAATTTTCTTAATCTCTGAATGTAATTTTTGAAAATACTAAGCTTCCACATTTAAATCTTAATTCTTTAAATAATTAAATCTTCAGCCTTCAAATAATTAAAGTCAATTAGAGAAATATTCTATTTTGACTGATGATTTTAAAATATAATTTTTTTAAAAAAATTATAGGTAATATGTACATCGTACTACTCAAAACTTGATCCGCTCGAAAATGGCGAAATTTATACGTCGCTTGTAAATGGACGACCGTCTGCTGAAGCTGCATCTGAAACCCTACAGGTTGTGTAATCTATTTTAAAATTTAATTCTTTAAAAAAATTTTCTATGGCCATTTAATGGTTTCTTAAATGAAATCAGTTTGAATTTTTAGCAGTTTACTCGAGCTCGTTATGTACGGCTTCGTTTTATGAGTATACGAACATTGAATGCTGATTTAATGATCATTAATCGTCGTGATAAGAGTAACAGATTGGATCTCTCGGTTACAAGACGTTACTTCTATGCTATCAAGGATATTAGTATCGGTGGTCAGTGTATTTGTCATGGACATGCAGAAAGTTGTCCACCTGATCCAGTTACCGGAGTAAATACTTTTATTAATGCACTTGCTGATGATTCAATGCCTACTAAATGTGATTTTATGTGTAATCATTAATCAGCACACTGATTAAAGTTGTTGATTGTTGATTAGAATCTGAAAAAAAAGAGAAAAAAGAAAAGATCAAGATCAGCATAGGTTAATTTTTGTTAAATGCTCATATATTTTCAACTGTCTAGTAAACTTCATTTAGCTGTTAATTAAAATTTGAAATTTAACTAGTTATTCTTTAACTTCTAGCAATCACGTTGCGAATGTCGTCATAATACGTGCGGTGAGTCATGCAAAGAGTGTTGTCCACTATTCAATCAACTTCCGTGGCGTCAAGGAACACAATCACATCCTAATGTTTGCCAACGTAAGTCTAATTTATTATATCTTGTATTCAAAAATTAAATTTAATAAAATTTTTAATTTCTTAATTTAGCTTGTCAATGTTTTAACCATGCAACACGTTGTGAATATGATGAAGAAGTGGAACGACTGGGTCTAAGTGTTACACCAGAAGGTATCTTTGAAGGTGGCGGTAAATGTATCGCTTGTAAAGTAAGTTATTCATCTTTTTTTTGGGCATTTCTTCACTATTAGTTTAGTTTATTTCAATGATTTCCAAACTAATATTAATAAATATCTTGTTTTGACTATATCTGCCGTAATTTCAGCATAACACTGATGGGATAAATTGTGAACGTTGCATATGGACATACTTTCGACCAGCGGGTGTTACTCACTATCGAGAAGATGCATGCCAACCTTGCGATTGTGATCCGATTGGATCGGAGCATAATAATTGCGTTCGAGATGAGACCAGCGCAGATGGCAGTCAAGTAAGTTAACAGCATTAAATTATTGAATAAGAATGAAGTTATCGGAAGAAATGAACAGCAGTTCGTCATACTGTTGATAATACCAAGTTTTGAGCTCAAGCTAATATATTTTGAATTTAAGTTGTTAAAAATTCATGTACAGAAGCCGGGTGATTGTATTTGCAAACCGGGATTTGGTGGGCGTCGATGCGATATTTGCGCACCGGGATATCGGAATCATCCAAAGTGTGAACCGTGTCCTTGTAATCGAGCTGGTTCTCTGAATTTTAACACCTGTGAGGAGGAAAGTTGTATGTGCAAAGCAAATGTGGAAGGCATTTATTGTGATCGATGTAAGGTCAGTTTCATTTTTTAACCTTTCACTATTTTGTAATATTTTTTCACTTTCAAAATCAATTCGTAGTAATCATAATCACAACCACAATCCCATTCTCATCACTTCAGTTACTTGGGAAATTGTTAAAAGGTAAAAGATACCAAAGAAAATTAAGAATACAATTTCTATTTCACATTTGCATAAATTTTGCAGAAAGGTACGATTAATCTGGATATCAAAAATCCAGAAGGTTGTCAACCTTGCTTCTGTTTCGGTCTTAGCAAAAAATGCAATGAGAAGCTTTGGAATCAAGAAAAGGTACACAGAACATCTAATGCTCCAATGTTCCGAGAGTTTCAGAATTTCTCAATCTAACTTTCGTTTTTTTCCAGTTTTTTGTGATTTATATTTAGAAAACTGAAAAGCAAGCCTTTTCTGTAAAATCAGTTTGTAGCAAAGCTCACTATATATTAATTACGGGCCTTTTCTTCTCCTGTTCGAGGCTAAAATTTCAATTATCAATTTGCGATATCATTTATCAGTTACTTCTCAAATATCGTATTTTATATAACTTGTTAATTTATTTCGGTTCATTCAAATGTTTGATTCAGGGAAGCAAAAAAAAAGTTTAACAGTTAATCATCAGACAAAATGAAACTTGTCATTTTACAGATACGAAGCACTACAGATTGGGTGTTAACGGATCTATCAGGTGAAAAAGGGATTGCGCTGAAATCTGAAAGTGAAGTATTGATGTATACCAATAGTGAGTACCGAAATAATGATTTGTTCTACTGGAAAGCACCGAAGGAATTCAATGGGAATCTGGTATGCTAACTGATTCCTTCTGAATCCATCTTAAAAATCATTGAAGAGAAATTCCATAGGCAGTAGAATTCAAAAATTTACTCGATAGTAAATAATTATGAGGCCAAAATTTATTTCTATTTCAAGTTACTGTAAAACGAATTATGCAAAGATATACGGGGGAATGCAGCAACAACTAACTTTGTAATGCCAAGTGGCACGAGAGAAAGTAATAATCATTAATGAAAAAAATTTATTTCATAATTTCAGTTAAATAGTTATGGTGGAAATTTACAATATTACGTATACTTCGTACCGGTGGGTAACGGAGAAGAAATATCAATTCCTGATGTTATCATAGAAGTTGGTTGGATGAAATAATTACTTTTTCATAATCATATTGTTAGATTATTATTTCGCGATATCTGCATAAGTTTTCTCAAGAATTTTCCGGGATTCTTAAGATTCTTCTGGGTGATGAAAGAATATGAATGAGAAGTGTGAAAGATGTAAGATAGTGTAATTTGCATCAATATGTAAGTATTGTTATTTAATTACTTGATTGCATTCATTCATTTGATTCATCTTATTTTCAATTTAGAAGCTCATCTCTCAACAAATTTTACTTTCAGGGTAATGGCATCAAAATGGAATATTATAGTCGGCAGAATTTTTTCCCAAGAGAAAATATTAGTGTTCAGATACCAATGAAAGAAGGTAGCGGATGGCACAATTCATATATGCAAACACTTATTGATAAGCATGAAATGATGCGTGTTCTAGCTGATGTTAATACAATGATGATAAGAGCAATGTATTATAGAGAACAAATACAATCAAGGTAACTTATATCCAACGAATCATTTACTTCCTTTAATGTCATCGATAGTTTTATGTTCGGTAAAATGATATAAATGATGATTATTGCAAATAATAAATTTGTAGCTGTTTCATTCCTAAATTTATAGTTAATTCATTTTATTTAGATTACTTTTTTATTATTATCTTTATAGTATCTATGGATTAGCATTGGATACAGCAATTGAACCTAAAAATGCGATCGAAAATACGAAAGAGATGTTGAAATCATCTCAAACATCGAATGCATTAATGCGTGGCGTTGAAGTATGTCAGTGTCCCGAAAATTACGCTGGCAATAGTTGTGAAGTGAGTAATTTACAAAATTTCATATTTTTTTACGTAAGCATACATATACATTACATTTGTTCACATTACACGTTCCTCTGAAAAACAATTTTTTACTTCAGCGCTGTACATCGGGATATCGCAGGGTAAATAATCAGCTGTTCAATGGTCATTGCGAGAAATGTCGCTGTGAAGGACATTCATTTGAATGTGATCCATTCACAGGTGATTGTATCAACTGTCAAGTAAGTAATTTTGCAGCTTAATTAATTACTGAAAGCATAGCCGACAAGTTAATTTTTGATAAATTATTCTTTGTAAAACAAAAAAAAAAATGTTCAAATTATTGAAAATTTTATTATTGTTATTCGATAAATAAAAAATCGTTAGGTTGTTTGATAGGATAATAGTTCGTGCTGTCCTTTGACCTAACATTACGATGTATCTCCAAGAAAGTGATATTATTTTCATACTTTCTTCTCATCTTACTTTATGATTCTTTACTTCGGTACTAGCAAAAGTGATGTTCTGTGTACTTCCATTCAAAATCACATATAATATAAATGGAATCATTTATTCATTTCCTTCTTATATTATTTATAATAATTAATAATAGTAAGTGATAATAATGATAGCAATAGTGATCACATATTATTTGAGCATAATACAACCGGTCGTCAATGTCATCAATGTTTACCTGGACACTATGGAAATCCATCTCTTGGTGGCGAACTTGGTCAGTGTCATCCATGTGCTTGTCCAACAATCGAGAACAGTCATTCGGCACAATGTAGTCTAACTCAGCTCGTTGTTGGTGGTGCTGCAGCGTACGGTGAAGACGCATACGTTTGCACAGCTTGTGAACATGGTTATGATGGCAATAAATGTGAAATGTGAACTTCATGATAATTTTCTAAAATTATTTATTCAAATTTGAATTCCATGAAATTTTTTTTTTTGCAAGAAATTTAATTAATTGATGACCTTTTAACTTTTTAATATAAATTTAAATAAATGAAATAGTTTTACAGTTGTGCGGATGGTTTCTTTGGGAATCCACTAGCAAAGAATGGTACCTGCGAGCTATGTGATTGTAACGGTAACATTGATCCAATGGCTATTGGAAATTGTGATCGAGAAACGGGAAAATGTTTGAAATGCATTTATAATACAGTTGGTGATCATTGTGAAGAATGTAAAGAGAATCATTGGGGTAATCCGAAGGATAAATCTTGCCGACCTTGCGGATGTCATCCTAAAGGTTCTCATTCAGCCACATGCAACAAATCGACCGGAATTTGTGATTGTCATGATAATTACGTTGGTATGCAGTGCAATAGATGTAAGGTAAATATAACAGGAATAAATTTTCAAAACCTAAAAATTACCAAAAAAACTTTTTGATGATGGCTTAGAGAATAAGAAGCTCAGGAATTATTTTTCAGAATGGACATGGTGATATTGAAAATATGTGCCCTGCTTGTAATTGTAGTGTTATTGGTTCTTCTGGTAGCGAATGTGATGAAGTATCCGGCCAAGTTTGTTTTTTCTTTTTTTCAAGATTTGGAAAATATATAAAGCAAATTCTATCTATTTTCAATTCAAATAAAATAATGCTTGAGAGAGCAGAGATTGTTAACGAATCTGACCTGAATGCTATAAGAATCACAACATAACAGAATTCGAAACTTTGGGCTAATCAAGAATGTACTACATACCTAAAAAGATAGTAAAACTGTTGAAGAATCTGATCTGAATGCTATAGGAATCACAACATAACAGAATTCGAAACTTCGGGCTAATCAAGAATGTACTACATACCTAAAAAGATAGTAAAACTGTTGAAGAATCTGATCTGAATGCTATAGGAATCACGACATAACAGAATTCGAAACTTTAGGCAAATCAACAAAACATTTTGATTGTATTGCACACCTAAGATTAGTAATTTGAACAACGAACAATCTGTCTAAATTGAATGAAATAACTTCATAGATTGCTTCCAAAATCTTTTCTAAAAGATCAATTTTGCGCTTGTTGCAACTAAGATAGACAATAGCGGCAAGCTAATAAAAATCGTAATAATACATCATTTGCCCTTTATATAAGCATATAAGTATAGATAATACTTTTTCAGTGCGCCTGCAAGACAGGAGTGTTTGGAAAACAATGTGATATGTGTAGAACAAGTTATTTCAATTTTTCCGCGAATGGTTGTCAATTTTGTCACTGTAATTCTTTTGGTGCGGTAGATGATGGCCGATGTGATAATGTTACCGGAAAATGTGAATGCCGCGAAAATGTTGACGGTAAAATGTGTGAAAAGTGTATGGATGGTTATTTTAATATAACTAGTGGACATGGATGTCAGGTAAGATAATATTATTTTCCGGGAAATTTTGAATTTTTCCTTCTTTATTCAAATCCAAAATTCTGTAGTTCCAATTTCTATTTATCTGTACTTAATAAAAATTATCAGGTATGCGCATGTGATCAATTAGGCTCCGAAGGCATTCAATGTGATACAGATACAGGTCAATGTGCTTGCAAACCTGGAGTCACTGGCTTGAAGTGCGACAAATGCGCTCCCAATCATTTTGGTTTAGATTCAAATGGATGTAAAGGTTTTTTAGTTAATCTTCTATATTTGAAGACTTATTTGATGTTATGGTAAAGCAAATAAGGCTCAGTCTCTTTTTCAATTTCCAATGATTTCAAATTTAAACCTAATAATTCAAATATTCTTCTTAATAATTTACACTTTTTAATAATGTCTTAACCGTTGTTAATTTCAAATTTATTTCTCTTTTTTCCAGAATGTCAAGTATGTCCAGCACCTGGTCATATTTGTGACTCAATAACTGGAGAGTGCATTTGTCCACCCAATACAATCGGTGAAATGTGTGAGAACTGTTCCAATAATGCTTGGAATTACGATCCTTTAAATGGTTGTACACTTTGTGATTGTTCCGGTATCGGAGCTGATGGACCGAATTGTAATCCTGAAAATGGACAGGTAAAGAAAACTACCTAAGCAACATATTTAAGTATCTGATTGCAAAATATTTTCCTATGCATTCAATTGTTTGTTTTCAGTGCAATTGTAAAATAGGTTTTGTTGGCTTAAAATGTGATCGATGCATTCATGGACATTTCAATTTCCCAAAGTGCGAATTATGTAATTGTAATGTATCGGGAACTGATCCAACAACTTGTGAAAATGGTGCGTGCTCTTGTGATGAGATGGGACAGTGCAACTGTAAGGTAATTGTATTTCATATTTCGCATACTTCACTAATTTCTTCCGATCTGTTAAGATTAATCTTAACCAATATATTTTAGAAGAATGTGATGGGCCTGAAATGTGATAGCTGCAATGCATATAGCTTTAGTTTGGAGAAGAGTAATATATTTGGTTGCACTGATTGCTTCTGCTTTAATCGTACTAATTTCTGTGTACAAAGTAGTTTCGTATGGCAACAAATTTATGCACCCAATCGACAGGTAATATTGTAATCTTTTTGCCACCTGTTGATATTTCATTTTGCATTATTAAAAAAAAAAATCATATATTTTCGTTAAATTAGGAGAAATATGATTTATTTCATGATGAAAATTATCGATATAGAAATTGATTAAATTTTTGAGTATAAATAAAAATTAATCTGAGAATTTACAATTCCTTAATTAAGGTAATATTCTCAGAACCATGGAAATATTACATACGCAAGCATAATTTGAATGTGCTTAGAGATAAACCACCGATATACAACAGTTATCCAACCGATATTACACCTTTATATTGGTATATTTGAAAAATTTAAACATATTTGCAATAATTAATTTGATATCAACTCGTAGATTAAAATGATTTGCTATAGTGATAATGCATAAACTTTTCAAATCAGGTAAAATTCGGATGGCTTCTGTTTTTTTGAACTTTAATTGAAAACTACTGCTTCTTCAAATTCACAAAAGTGTATAAAGATATGCAAGAATAAGAGATGATGGCAAAGACCAAATGTAGTTTTTAAAATTTTAATTTGATAAAGTACATCTTGATAAGGAGATACAAATTTCAGGCCTTTGCCATCTAGTTTTCTGGGTGACAGAACAACATCCTACAATGGGTTCATTCGTTTCACAATCAAAAATGATGATAACTATCGTGGTATCCCTAATGTGGCACCTGATTCACAGCACTTTCGCTTTTTCCCGCAAATTATTCTGGTAATTTTTTTGGTTTTTTCCAGATTGTCAAAACCTTAAATGAAAAAGTATCGGCGAATAAAATATTCGAATAATTTCATTTAAATTGTGGTTTATAATTTAAATCATTCGTTTGCACTGTTAATTGATATCAAATTTATTCAACTAATAGGTCGGCAACCATCGTATCATTCTGGAACACACACCAAACGAAATGAACGTATCAGGACGCTATAAAATTCATTTACATGAAAATCAATGGCGTTCACGTTTAAGTCCTGATGTGCGCGTAACACGCAAACAACTAATGATCGCTTTGCAAAATCTACAGGGCATTTATATCAGAGCTACCTACAACTATCCATCTACGTTAATTTTTCTCACATTTTCACTTCATACTTTTTTTGACATGAAGAAAATATACGATGACTTTGGGAGCTGTGGCATATTGGTTAACCTTGAAACTTCTAGCATATTAGCTTTAAGGTATAATCATTCAAACAAACAGGAATAAATAAATTCCAGTGGTGATACGGCATCAATCAGTGAAATAAGCATTGATGTAGCAGTATGGGAAAACATTACCGATACTTCGTCAAATTCAGTAGCAGTTGGTGTGGAACAATGTGAATGCCCTCAAGGTTATGCTGGTAATTCATGCCAAGATCCAGCCGAAGGTTATTGTCGAAAAAGACAATCTGATTTCTTGAACAGTCCAGATGACTTAGCATTGATCGGTGAATCACAACTATGCGCATGCAGTGGACATTCAGCAACATGTGAAGCAGAAACTTGTAGATGCACTGTAAGGCATGCAGCTCATTGAATTATTATTGAAAATTGCAAAGTGACTAGTTAAGAGTGTAGTAGTGACGGTGAATCATAAATATTCCGAAATTCATTTATTATCTTAAAAAATCAGAAATCAGAAACTCTCTTAGAATTTAAGTTGACATTCGCATTATTTGTACCTCTACAATAAATTATTATTTTCTTCACTGTAAAAAATACTGATTGGAATTTTTTTAGAATTGTGAGCACAATACATACGGTGATCACTGTGAAGTTTGCAAGCCAAGTTATCAGGGGAATGCATTGGTTGGTGGCGCTAATGCATGCACAAAATGTGCATGTCCATTGCCGGATAATAGCTTCAGTGATACCTGTTTAGCAGTAGGTCATGGCCGAGGATATATGTGTGATGCATGCAAACCTGGATATACAGGTCTGTACTGTGAAAGTTGCCTAACTGGGTATTATGGTAATCCGAATATAGTGGGTGGCATGTGCAAAGAATGCGCCTGCCACCAACATGGTTCTGTTCATGAAATTTGCAATCAGGCAAGCTTTCATCATTTCTTTTTTTTGTTTTTGATAATATTATTGCATTACATATAAAGATTGAAAGAGCGGTTTCTTAATTTTCTTACCATCTTAATTTTTTATTAATTTTTTTAATTAAAAAAATATTGTATTCTCAATTTGAAAATGTTGTATTTTTAATTTTGACATTTTAAAAATATTGTATTCTGCAAAAATATTGTAGGAATTTATGACAGTTTCTTAATTTTTGGAAAAAATATTGTAGGAGTTTATGGCAGCCATTTCATTTAAATTATTAATTAAATGGTAATGTGATAAAATTTGATTAAATGATTCTACGCTGATATTTTAAAATGGAGCTTACTTTTTAGGAATCAGGTCAATGTGAATGTCGACCAGGTTTATCAGGTCGCGATTGCTCCTTATGCAAAGATCGGCATGCATTTATTAATGGTACTTGTACCTCATGCGATCAGGGCTGTACTGGTGATTTAATGAAAGAAATGGATGAGTTAGAAGAAATTATGAAACAACAAAACTTCACAACTTTAAGACCAGTTCCATGGAAGCGTGTTGCTCGGATAAGCAATGCAACAAAAAGTATGCTTCTTTGATACAATTTAATGTATTATGTTTGCTTGCATCACAAGGCGAAAGTATACAAATCATATGAGTGCAAAAAGTCTAATTTTGACCTCTGTTCTTTTCAAGATGGAGTATTTGCAGTAAAAGTTACGAATCTTGAATTTTACATTAAAATAAACTATTTTGTTGTGTCGATTCCGAATTTTGAACTTGATATGAAAACCATCAACCGATCATTTATTTCAGACTTGCATTTAATTTTGGATTCGCCACATTTGGAGAGTTCTATTGATGGAGATACACGTAAAACTGGCATCGGCATGGATGGCAACTTCTTAGATGAAGTTAACGGACTAGTAGAGCAGACAAAATTTTTGTTGGAACGAGCTAATAAATCGAAAAATACCTTGCAAGAGAGCACGGCAAAAACTCAAGAATTATCTGAGAGAGCTCAAGATCAAGACAAAATTCTTCATGAGGTCATCGGTCAGCTGCAACATTATATAAATTATGGATTTGGCAAACAGGATAGCTCAAAGATTGATATTTGGATCCAGGAAGCAAACAATTATGTAAATGATATGAAGGAACGTGGAATCTACATCGAGAAACGTTACAATCGTGGAAATACCGATTTTGAGTTAGTCATTCTGAAATGTTATTATTTTTGCTTGATATTTTTCTGTGATATTTTTAAGAAAAAAGCTTATTGTATCACCTAAAAAGAGATGAAACATGTTTGTTTTATATGTCATTTAGAAATCATGAAAAATAAAAGTCCATTTAATTTTCCAAATTTTGAATCTCTTCAAATATAGCTGTAGTAATTTTGACGAGTGCAAAAGAGCATTTTCATTCTTATCAATAGGACATACCTGATCAGCTGGATATTTCAGGAAATCTCAAAACTTAATGAAGCTGATAACATCACGTATGCTAAATCATACTTCATTCGTTGAATTGCGTAAACAACTGGATACCTTCGAACAGTGGCTACACGATTATCGTGATACCATTTGGGATAGAGCACGTCAGGACACCGTATCCGCTGATAAAATAGCAATTATCGTAGCAAAACGAGTGGATCGATTTAATGCCGTAAAAGCAAATATTACTGCAATATTATCTAAATCAACCGATGAATTAAATGAATCAGAAAAGAAAGTATCGATCTCGAAAACAGAAAAAATTTTAAATATGTTCGATGATTTTAAGGTTTTTCCTCGTTCAATCTATTTTGTGAATTATGTTATGAATTATAATATGCTATGATAATTTTAGAAACTATGAGAATGAGAATTAGATGGCCATTTCTATTAGAAATTTTTCAGCAATGTGGAAAATTGCGCGGTTAATTGCTTTTGGATTTTGGATGCTAAACGCAATTATTCTGTGTTGTTTTTTCTGAATATTTCCACCATCAAATATTTGAAATTTTTATTTTTCAGGTTACTAACGAAACGCTGTTACCAGAAGTAGATGAAGTGACAAGAAAATGTCATGATGAAGCTGATAAATATGGGCAACTTCTAGATGAATATCGTGAAGAATATGTGGAGAAAAGTGAACATCATGCAGTAGAGCTGGAAAATGAAGCACAAAAATTGCAGAAGTAAAAGATAATAACTTTTTATAGAAACTTTTCTTTTTAAATTCTTTCTTCCGTCGTTTATTTCCATTTCATTTTAGATTGTCATTTAATATTATTAGATATATATGAATTCGAATTACTTTAGTTCTTTTGCGGATACAAAGACTGCCGCAGCAGATCCTCTTCGAGCATCTAATGCTTATGAGGAGATTATGAAAGCTTTACGGAATGCCAGCAAAGCAGTAGAAGGAGCGAAAAAAGCTGCGAAATTTGCGTATACTGATGCGGATGCAAAATCTGAGACTTCAATGGTTAATATGGCGTTACAAGCCAAAAATCGCAGTATGGATATTAAAGGACAAGCTGATGAACTTAGCTTGAGTGATTTAGAGAACGAACGTTTAACAGCCACTAAGATGACAAACGAACTGAAGGAAACATTGCAGGATTCAATGAAACGAAAATTAGCAATCAGTCAGTTTGGACTAATATTCATAGGAAGTAACATCAATTTATTACCTGTACTGGTTAAAAACTGGTTAAAAACCGATTAAAAAAGTCAATGACAAGTGATTTTGGTTCTGTGGAATCAAAGGACGGTAAAAGTTATGAAAGATATATATATATCATAAATTCCAGTTATCAATTATGAACCTTTTAACTTCTTTGAAGTGACTTATTCACAAACTTCTATTTTCCTACTTTTAATTTAGGTGAACAGTATCAATCATTCGATGATCAGCACGATCGAATGACTGGATTAATCAGTGTAGCTGATGATGCGGAAAAACGAGCCAAAAATATACACGAGAAAATAGAGGAGATAGCTCTTGAAATTGATACAATAAGCAATGCTGTTTCAAAGCTACAAGGTTTTGCTGGTGAGGGTATCCGGAATATCACCAATGATGGTAAGTTAGATTGTTTCATTATTAAAAAACTTTTACAAGAAGCCTGAAGGAATAGAGTGAGTCTAATATTGCAAAATCAATAAACGAATTAATTACTAAATTCTTCGCGAATTTAAGAAATTCCCTTCTATGCTCTTTACTTCTATAACATTTTCAATACATGCAAATTGATGAGAAGGTTAGAATACCCACGATTTTATCACTTGAAACTCATAGTATGCCTTTATCAGACATTCATATCTTAATCACTAAACTTTCCTACGATTCGGACTATGAACAATTTATTAGCTTCGTATGGAAGTTACAAATAACCTTATGCAACATATGAATTAATTTTAGTACGCAAGGCTAATCAGGGAGCACAAGAAGCAATGAAAAAAGTTTCTGAAGTAAAGAAGCAAACAGATAGTGATTCAAAACGGATTAGTGTTCTCGGAGAGCAGATTAAATTATTGCAGGAAAAAATTAAAGAAGCACGTGAGAAAGCATCACGTGTAAGTAAAATTTTATTCTTGATAACCATCAGTCTAATATCATAATATTAAATGTGGACACTCCTATCGTTATCACAAATATCCTACTTTTCATTCCGTTTAATTTTTCTGGAACCTGTTATTTTCAGACACTCACGTGCCAAATTCATTTTGTTTTACTGTTAATTTGATAAGAATGAAAGGAAAGGGGAAATAAACAAATTACAAATCTTTTTGTTTATTACAGATCCGAATTTCGATGAAATCCGATGAAAATGGTAATTGCCGCCGTGCTTTCATCTCACCCGCACATTTGGCACCAACCAACCTGTTTACCATCAAATATCGTCCGCTACAGAATGTTCCGGATTCATTGCTATTCTTGACAAAAACAAAAACTAAGCGCACTCAGCAATCGGAGTACATCGCAATGGAATTAAGGGATCGACGTATTGTTGTACAATGGAATATTGGTTCCGGTACGCGCATGGCTACCAATACTCATACTATCAATTATATTGCGCCAAGTGACCGAACTGCCTGGTACCATATAGTATTGGAAAGGTAAGTTGACCTGATTCCTCCCGTAAATAACTCTTTTAACTTGATAGAATGAATTAATTATTGTTAATCATAAAAATAATAATTTATGACATAACCATTCAACGAAAATCAACTATTTGCGAGAAATCAAAGCTTTAATCTTTGTCTATTACTTTTCAGATTTGGTAATTCGGTAACGTTGACCGTAGCACTTCATCATACAATCAGTGGTGAAGGTGAGCGAATAGTTGGTGAACCGATTACCGTATCGGTTGGTCAACCGGACGAAGATGATAACATCATTTTCAATACGGTACATGGTGAAACGCTAATTGAATTTGGTATTGACGCAAAGCTATCACAGGATTTAGGATTAGCAACTAACAAATTCCTCGGTACCATTGGTGAATTTACTGTCGATGGCGAGACTTTGCCACTTTGGGCATTTGCAGAAAGTAGTAAGATTTGCGAAGGAGATTTTGCTGCACCAGAAAGCCAAACTACCGGTTATTTTTTCCGGTAAGCTCTCTATTTCAAAATTTTACTTAGCATAAATTGTATTGTTCTATACAGATATTTACATAGCACATGAATAGTTATATAATGGAATAGTAATTTAGTTTAATTCATTCATCTTTTAGCGACGGTTTTGCACAAATTCATCTTCCTTCAACAGAACGACCAAGTGGAGCACAAATTACAGTGATCTTATCAGCTTATTCACCCGATGGTTTGCTATATTTCCGTGGCAATCAAGAAAACGGAGATTTCATCTGTTTGGAACTTCATGGTGGACACGTTCTTTTTAAGGTATTACATTTCTTCTGAATTTATCCATTCTATTTTGCATGATTTTTTCATCAATTAAAATCTTGTTTGATTAGTCTTAGGTTAATATAACTTAATAATAGTCTTTAGCTAGAAATTTTTGCAGAGAGAAATGTAGCTATTATACTAATGTTACTGTCTAATCAATGAATTTCATTGAATAATACTTTGCACATTATCAATCCTATCTACTCTGTAATAATCAATGGGTCAAGAGGGAGAGAGAGTTCATCCTAATCTACTACTCTGACTATTAATAATTAACTATTAAATAATACAATTTATTAAGATATAATCAGTTTTGCTTAATTCCATTATTTACTTCTAATCATTTAGAAATGATATTTAGATTAATCTTGGCGATGATTCATACGCAGTCGTTAAATCGAAGAAATCATCTTACGCCGATGGACGCTCACATACTATTCGAGTTATTAGAAACTATGAGAAAATACATTTGCAGGTTGTTTCTTTCTTCCCTTTTTTTCAATTTCTATTTCAAGCATATTGCAATCGTTATATGATTATTCTGATTCATCAATTTAACGACTTGTTATGGCTTTTGAAATATGGAATTTTTGTAAGGCATATCAAATTTCAGGTCGACGACGAAAGCGATCGCAATTCTGCAACGATACCTGGTGAAAATGCAAAGTTGAATATTAATGGTGATGATCACTTTGTGGGTGGCATCCCGCCAGGCTTTAATACTACTGCTTTCCGTCAATTCGATATCCAATGGAATGGATTTTTCGGCTGCATTCAATCAGTCCGACCTTCTCAAGTGCTTTTTTTATTACTTTTTTTTGTTTTCTGTGGATTAACTTCTATCTGCTTGTTACCAATGACCTGTAACCTCTTGATCTATCTTGCTTAATTTTAAAGTCTAGACGCATCTAATCATAGGAATGAATACCATACTTTAATTATTTTTTGAAGTGATAACAATTTTTTGTACTTGAAGATTTCAATTGATACCATGCACTGGTATACGTTGTAAAGCATTTTGAACTTGATTGTCAATAATCATGAATTTCAGGTTGCAGAATTGGATCTTGATAATCCAATACGCTCACAACGTAAGCTACGTGGATGTAGTTTTAAAAATGGTGAAAGATTGAAACCGACTGATAGAGTGGTTGGCTTCAATCGTCCAGGTTATCTGGTTATTCAAGGAATTCAAATCAGCAATAATTCCACGTATATCTATTTTTATCAAATTATTCATTACATTTTTTTTTCTTTATCAAATTCTTAAAATAATTGAAAAATTGAAATTTATAATCAAAATAGATTGCTGAAATAAATATAGCATGAAAAGTGCTATTTTTCAACTTCCCCAATTTTTAGGTTTGCGTTTGCATTCCGCACGAAAACTGCCAACGCTACATTATTGTTCCAATCGAGCGAGTTGGAAACATTTAGAAAACGTCGAAGAATTAGAGATTCTTCTGGCATTGTTAGCTTTTCCTTTCCTTAAATCTATCACATCAGATCATTTTATTAAAGTGATTTGTTAATATTATAATATATTTTGGAATGCCATAAAAAATTTAGTTTTCTTCTAATAAAAAAAACGATTCCTAAACTTTGAAATGATACTGATCTAGGGATATCTGGCATTTTACTTATATCGCGGCTATTTGGTTGTACATCTCGGCACCGATTCATCACAGAAAAGTAAAGTGCTTACATTAAGATCTGAAGTAACTTACAATGATGGACAGCTTCATTCAATCTTTTTCACTCGTTTCGAAACATTGTTAGTTTCAAAATATTGATCAACAATAGCTTTAAGTTCAAATGGAGATGCTAATGATATCAACCAATATCAATCAGTTCACTATCATATAAGATGTGATATCAAGCATCAACCAGTCCAGTACGATAATGATTGATTGATATCTGTACTCTTATTCTTCTGATAACAGAAATACGAGATTTTAATTGATCTTAAGAATGACCCTGCTAGAATGATCTAAGAATGATCCTGCTAGCATATCATAAACTATGTTAAGATTATCATGGACAAGTGCAGGCTTAGGAATATAATGAAAGTTAATGAAATGAAGATTTTCTATAGAGTTCGTCTTCGGGTCGATGATCGAGAAATAGCTTCCGGTACTCTTGGCGAACAGAATACTATTGGAACTGCTTCATCACAATTATTTATTGGTGGATTTCCTGATGGTATAAAACCATCAGCTAATGAAATGCCAATTGCTGAATCGATGATTGGTTGCGTATCGAATATTTTCGTTGATTATCAGTCAGTTTATTTTTTTCACTGGTTTAAGGGTTTAAACAGTGAGAAGATCAAGCCGCAAATGTTATCATTACTGATATCAAAACCTGAACTTAGCTATGTCCAACATTGTTTCTTTATCAAATGATACAGCAACATTGAATAATCATAGAGTTTGATTAATTAATCAGTATACAGTAGAGTGACCGAGGTTCATCTTGCATGTATGTGAAATTTAAATTGATCCATTTGAATGAGTAAAGAACAAGGATGATATGTTTTTATGTCTAGTCTAAACTCACTTTTGCTCCTCAAATATCTTCTTTTTCCAAGCAGAAATTTTATATCACCGATCTTGCTAAACTAATTACAGACTTCTCCCAATCATACCGGAAGCGCATATTGCTTTAATTGGTTCCTGTCCGGTGGAGCAGATTTTCTCATTACAGAAATCAGGTAACAAACCTAATTAAACTTTCATTATATACTATATACGATTTGTTGCATCATTCTATGAGTCTCTACTCTAAATCATTCACATGTTTTATAAAAAGTTTTTGAAAATACTACTCATCGCTTCGGATCCCGAAGATTGGAATGTTAAATAATTACAGAACTAATTCGTTTTTCATTCAAATAGTAGAACCAAGTTATAAATTACAGTATGCAGTGCTTTCTTGATATATTTATGAATATTTAAAAACAATTGACCCAATTAGCGTAATTGAGGCTTTTTGCTTGCTTTGTGCCACTTTTATATAGCTAATTTGATATCAATATGATTTTTTTTCTATTTCTATTCATGCTTCAGGTAAAATTATTTATTTTTATTGCTATTCAATTCAATTAATTTAAACTCTCATTAAGAGCTCTCATTAAAACAAAACTCATTAAGACTATAACAATCAATTATTGGATTAAAATGCTAAAAATTAAACTTAAAAATTATTTCCATTTTTCCATTACATTTATTTATGCATATATCTTTACTAGAAATTAATTTATTCATCTGTAGAAATTATTCTTTTATAACTAAATTTTGTGTGTTTCTCGACTTTCTGTAGAACGGCGAGCAGATATGGAAGCATTGCAAGCAGACGAACAAAATGCTTTCAATCGAAAAGCATCGAAACTTTCTTTGCATCTAACAGAACCATCATTGTTCACCAAAACGGAACGCCTATATGCGGATGGTAATGATAGTGATATTGATATGATACGATAATGATAACGATTATCTTTCCTTTTTACAATTGCATTGTTATAAAGCATTTTTATACTTTAACATTTTTTCCTTTCTTTCTTGTCCGAAACAGTAATTATTGCATTTCAATCATATCAGTGATAGATAGGAAGGAAATATTTGATAATAAGAGATTTAGAAGGCATGAAAATTCATTCAAGCTATTACTGGCATTTATACTTAATATAGACATAGTATGTGGAATGATATATAGCGTAGGTGCTTCTCTCTTCAGTACATTATAAATAAGCCGCTTGGCTAATTTTTCTTATCACCTATTTTATCAGGTAGTAAAAAGTAAATGATTTCGCACGCTGTAATAGAAAATGAGAAATGAAATATCTAGCTATATCATATAACACTTCTATGCAAATACATCTTTATCATTTTGCAAGTTTCGTGTATTATTTGATAATGCATGAAATTTAATTTTATTTATTATCTTTCAAATTTACTACTATTTGCTAATACATTTCTCTTTATTAATGGCTTATATAATCTTCAAGTAAAATAGCAAAGCTTTGAGCTTATTTAACCGGAAAATTTTATTTCTAATTTAATAGTATCATTTTATTGCATGAAGGGAATTGTATGAAATTCTTCCTCTAATGCAGAATCAGTCAAAACAAATCCAATGAATATCAGAGAAGTCAATAATGAGCCAGAAGAATTAGAGCCAAATGATTTTCAATTATCTATGATAACGACAACTGATATAACCTTCAATGACATTCTTCCGACCGAAATTCTTATTGAATCAATGGAAAAAAAAGATGATGTTGATGATGATATTGATAGTGGTGCTGATGATTTTACCAGTTTAACAGATTTTGGTCCTAAAAAGGTTTTCTTTTGAATTTCTTAAATATTCATTAAAAAGTCAAAGCAAAAATCCTTTTACCATGTCGCAGTATTATTTTCAGTAAAAAAATGACTCAGCAGAATTCTACACGAATTATAGCTTAAATTTGCTGTGTTGCTAGAATTGTTGAAACTTCAAATTAAAAAGAGAAAAATTTGCAGTGCGGTCCAAATGTGTTAGCTAAAAGTGATGGCGAAGGTGCGGCACGATTTGGTATAGCAGAAGCAAGCCATTCGAGATTGAACTTCGAGGAAAATCATTTGGACGTTAATCAGTAAGTCTACCACTTGAATTATTCAATCCAGTCCAAGAATCCTGATATGTGATTGATTGTAATTTAAATAATTTCATTATAGTATAACACATGGGTATTTTAAGATTTAAAATTGAATTTGCATTCCGCACAACATTACCAAACGGGATGTTTTGGATTTGGGCAAATTACAACAGTTATACGCGTTATTTCTTCCTCAATATGATCAATGGATTGTTGCAACTTCAGGTATAAATTTTATATGTTTATAATTCAATAAATCACTAATTAGATTAGAAAGATTGGAAGAAGTGTTTATTTAAAAATGAATAGAGTATAAATCAGAATTTTAGGTTCGAGGACATAAAGAACCAAAAATTTTGGTATACAAATCGAATAAATTAAATGATGGAAAATGGCATAATATTAGTATGCTAAAGGAAGGCCAAGAAATTCTTCTTAAGGTTTTTTTGACTTCATATACGTTGTATTCAGTTTATTTCATATTTTACAACTTTATGTTAATAGTAGTAACAGTAAATAAGTTTCTACAATAATTTCCAAGAAATTTGTTTATTGAGTCATTTGTTTAAGTGCTCTGTTTATTCGCACAATTGTAAAATAAATAAGAAAAATTGAGTTATTTAAGGTAGATCATAATCCAGCACAATACTTGAAAGATGTACCAAATCCAAAAGTGATGCGCAAACGGATGTATATAGGTGGGGTCATTTCAAGACATCGCAAACAGTTCAATTTAACAATGCCCTCATTTTCTGGATGTATCAGGTTCACGAATTTCTTTTCTTATGACTTCCTCAATTAAAATAAAAGCGATAATACTTATGAATGATTTAAAATTAAATTCAATAGCACTTGAAAGTTTGAAATTTATTTATTCAATAATTTAAGATGAGTTTAAAGGAGGGATTATTATTGGTGAATTGATGAATTGGTGAAAATTGAAGCTCATTTCAAAATTTTGACCTCTGAACCTGAATGGTGAATATATTATCATTCAATAAGTATTAAATTAATTTGATATGATAAAATATGTAATATGAAGTTTGTTTCAGAAACTTTGAGGTAAACGACATTCAACACGACCTATTTAAAAAAAGTCGTCACGTTGTCCCATGCATCGTTCCTTCCGATTCAGCATACGTTCACGAAGGCGGATATATGACATTTGGTATGTTAATTCTGCCAACTACAATTAGCGGTATTTTACTAGTCATCCAATTACAGTTTCTGAGCAATGAGATGTCAGTGATAGTGTATTCAGACGTTCGGCCAGTTTCTATATTTTCAAGAAACTGTAATTGGAGATCGGTAAAATGCCATCAACGATTATACCGTTTATGGTTTAGCCAGGCTTTTAAATATTTTGTCTAATTTGACCATTTCAATTCTTTTTACTTTCATTATGTAAAATTGTAATGGATAAAATTCCATGAATTGGACCTAACAAGTGCTTAGTACAGGATCATTAAAGTCTATTCGTCGGCACGGGAACATTCATATTATGGTACAATTTCGACCTGCTGTAAAAAATGGACTTATCTTTGGTCTGATGACAAATAAAGATCCAGAAAATGCACGAATTGCTGTTTATCTTAAAAATAGCATGGTTATTATTGTTTTCCTTTTTTGAAAATATTCTATAATATTTGACAGTTGGACTTATGACCATGTAAGATTGTGAGTTCAGATAGTTACCACCGCGTAATGTTATTAGCGTAACGATAAACATAGCGCGGTACTTTAGTTTTGCTGTTATATAGCTTGTAAATGCAATTTTTCTTCTATATCTGTAACTTGAAACATCGATATCAAATTTTGATGGAAAGATATTTTTGGATAACTAACTACTTCAGATGACTTTTGAACTTGTGTTCAACGATGAACGTCGTGATCTGAAGCATATTTTCAAAAAAGATCTATGTGATGGCGCTTGGCATAATGTTACGCTTTCTATATCACATTCAAATTTGATTGTTATTACGGTTGATGGGGTATGTTTTCGAATTTTTCTGCTATTAGTATGGTTGCTTAGAGAAGTGTAACACACATATGATCTTATTTTTAAAATTTCGAAAATAAAGAATTATTTTTGAGAATGATACAGTTAGATAGCAGCAAATTTCAGCATCGGAAACGTTTAACATCGAAGATAAGCTCTGAATCAGTAGACTTTTTCCGAAGTTTGCCGATATATGTTGGCGGAGTAACCGGTTTGTTTTAATTTATTAGTTTATTTTTTGTTAGTGAAAGAAATAGAGTAATTTGCATTCATAAGAATAAATACTTAATCCCACCCCAACCGAATGAAATGATTTTATGGAACTGTGATCTATTATTTTTTGCGCTACTAAAGATATTAATCTCACTCTTTGCAGCAACATCAGCTTCCAAAATTGGGATACTTTCATTAATCGGTTGCTATCAAGATCTACAACTTTATGGAAAATCGATAACTTTCAAAGATGCCAAAAAATTACATAAAGCTCTACCCGATGGTTGTCCATTTTTAAATTAAATAATTATCAACTATTCATATATTTTCAAATTCCATTTGAAATGTAATCAAAAAAATAACAGAGTAAAAAGTAAAAAATTAGCATAATTTTGTGTTAATAATGAAAAGTACAAGGAAAACGTTGAAATTCCTTCAAAGTTTCAACGCTCTATCTCATAGCATTTCATTTCTTTTTCGCTCAATAATTTGATCAAATTGTTTACATTTCATCTTATTTATCCATTTAATACCTTCAACTTTCATCCAATTTTTCTCACTTTTCTCATTTACTATATTAGCTTTTTTACAATTTACTACTATATCAAAAATATATTTCATTATTTTAACATTACATTTTTAAAACGTACATATAAGAATTCACTAATCGATACGGAATATTTTGATAGTATAATAGAAACAGGAAGGAACACATAAAAACTTAAAATATTGATAAAATGGAACTGTCGGAACTGCAACAAGAATGCGGGAACTTCGAAATTTATAGTTGATCAATGAACAGTCATTCATTTCGAATACTCTTCTACTGAAGAGTAAAATGAACATATCACATATCATAACAAAATGATAATTATACAACAGAATGGAATATCTACGATTATCAATAAAACATTAGGAATAAATTGATATTCGCACAATTCAGGAATATCTCAGATGACTGTTGTGAAATATATCAGAAGAAGTAAAGGATTTTTTGAATTGAAATGAATTTTTATTTTATTTCATTCTTTTGAGAAGAAGGATGATAATCTCTCTAAATCGATGTTACCACCGCAAAATATGACACCTATCTTTTTTAGATTTTGAGCAGCTAGTTCATTCTTATATTTGAATAATGCCGCTAATGAAACTGCACCTGTTGGTTCGATTACTTGCTGAAATTTATTTCTTTATATTTTAGTTTTATTCAACGTCTTACTAACTTTCAAAGGAAAGAAAGTGATGATGAGAAATAGCAAAGAATTTTTTTTAAATAAATTAGTAAATTACCTTCATTCTATTATATACCAATTTCAATGCTTCAGCAATTTCGTCATCATTCTGGAAAAAGTTTCATATAATACTTTCATTCTTTTTACTCATAACTTTTATTCATATGACAAATTTATTATGGTACTATTTCATAAAAGATTTTAAAGCAAATAATTTGATAAAAATTTTAATTTTACTAATTACATCAAAGTATCATGATGAATTAGTAGAAATGCATCACAACACTATCAATGAATTCTTATGACATAATTGATATATTGTTATTACTTCCTATAAAATCTGTTGAGAATGAAACTTACTACGGTGAGAACTTTCTTTTCACATTTTTCATAAATAGAAGGAAAGCATTTTTCGCCAATTCGTAAAACTCGAATTCCATCGGCTATTGTTTTTACTGGATCTGCATTTGGATCCCATAATCTCTTATTGGAATCAATAGAGCGCTGCAAATTTTTTCCTTCTGGTTCTACACAATATACTGAAATATTAATTGGAATTAGCAAATTGCTAGAGAACGGAAGTGTCTGAAAAATTTGATGATGAGATATAAGGAGAAATCAATCTGTCTTATATATATAATAAACAAACCTTTAATATCTGGTTTAATTTTCTTTGCGGCTACAGCTATACCAGAACACAAACCACCTCCACCAACCGCTACTAATAATGCATCTAAATGAGGAATTTCCTCCAGGAACTCTATTGCTATTGTCCCCTGAAATAATCAATAAAAGTATAAGAAGACTTAAAATAAATAAATTCTAATTCAACAAATTAAGAAAGAATTTACTTTATTTCAATCAAGAGATTAGGAGATATTATAAACCACGAAACATATATAAAAGCTTTATCATTATCACTAACATTATCATTAATCAAGGCTAAAATTTGAATTGATTGATTTTTTCGAAATCAAATAAAATTGCTGATAACGCGTAAAGAATTTTATGAATTGTTAATGGCCTGTTAACATATTATCAATTTGATCAAATATTTTTTTTTACTGTAAGCTATTACTTTTGATAAGTGTTGAATATATTTCATCAATTAGTGAAATATGAAAAATGTTGAAAATCAAAAGTAACCATAGAAGTAACTATAGTTTTTTTTACATTTAAATAAAATGAAAACCTGTCCAGCCATCACTCTATAATCATCATGTGAATCAACCATTTCAATATCTTCACCATTATCACGAAAATTTTTACATACCATTTCTCTTCAATAAAAAAATAAAAGTATAAGTTAGAAGAGATATCCACGAAAGTAACCGTTCATGCATAATAAACATAAAATTAATTTATTTCATACATAAAACAAAAATAAAATAAAATAGATTTAAATTTGCTCATAGAATTTACGTTACGTTTTTTGAATAGAATTTACGCTCCGTTTTTTGCGTAGAATTTACGTTCCGTTTTTTGAATAGAATTTACGTTTCGTAGAATTTTATGCCAATATATACCACAAATGTCTTATCGATTTCCACTTGTTTTTTAAATTTAAATAAATTTAACTAATGGATTCAAAATAAAATTTAATATTTCTCATTGCACTCTTACTGTATTCTTAATGTTTATTACCAAAAAACCATTCTTACTGTATTCTTAATGTTTATTACCAAAAAACCATTCTTACTGTATTCTTAATGTTTATTACCAAAAAAGCATTCTTACTGTATGCTTAATGTTCACTACCAAAAAAGCATTCTTACTGTATTCTTAATGTTTACCATCAAAAAAATTACTTTTAGTATACAATTTTGTTCGCTGAATTACTTCCATATCGTTATCTTTTTTTAAGTGCAATTTTAACATAAAATTTCATTTAAATTTAAATTTAATTAATCATAAAGAAAAACATTTATATTGCTAATGTTTAAAAGATGTATAAACTTTTCTTAAAAAAAAAGCACATAATTTTTAACCTGTCTTTTGGTTCACAAAGTACAATATTAGCTCCATAACCTTTCATGGCATTAAGTTTTGATATTGGAGCATTATTTGGTACCACAACTACACATGGAATATTATGGATTTTAGCCGCCCAGGCTAATGCTTGTCCAAAATTACCACTGCTATGAGTAATCTGAAAGTGAAAATTTAATTTCAACAATTTTAGAAATAATGAAATTTGCAAGAGAAAAACAAATTTGAAATAAAATTTTAAAGAAAATGAGAAAATATATAAGTTTTTGTTATGGTAATATTATTCAACAATGTTGCAACAAATCAAAAAATATGACCGACCACTGATGAGGATTTCTTTTCTGAATCATTGATAATAATCTTTACCTGAAATAAAACAATTATAGATGCATTCTAGTTTTGGGCTTATAATTCACCTGATATTAGTAATACAAATATACTACCAATAAAATCATTTCATAAAATATAAAATTAAAAAATTTAAAAAATCGAAATATTACTTATCACTTACTATTTGCAAGGAATATCACAAAAAGAAACGAGCAAACTTTGAGGAAAAGAAGAGTTGTATCTTTAATTATTGAATAGTCCCATTGATAAGTAATAAGTGAAGATGACAATCGTTTAGACACTTTGCATCATATCTTGCCAACATATCTTTAACCTATCTGATATTTTCAGTTCTCTCATATCTTTTCATACTCGATATCAGTCTTTCACATATTACTATCAGCGTCAGATTTCACTTGTAATTATTACTTTTGTAATAGTATATTATTGAACTTAAAAAATAGTATAATTAATTAACTAATTAATTTATGCATGATAAAGGTAAGTAAGTACAGCATTTAGTGCTCCACGTGCTTTGAATGAACCAGTTTTTTGGAGATGCTCACATTTGAAATAAACTTCCATACCGCACAGGCTATCAATATAGCTAGATGTCATCACCGGTGTTTTATGAATGATACTACTGATACGATTTGAAGCAGCGCAAATATCCTCAAATGAAAGCATCTTCCTATAAATATATCATCCTCTTATCACTAATAAAATAATGTCAAATGAAAAGCACTAAATGAATAAATGCGTTGAATTTTCAACTTTAATAAAATAAGCATACTAATATTCCTTCTATATTTAAGGGTATAATGAGCAAAAATTAAATTCTATAAAAATCTCATACCTTTATCATACAAATTAATAAGTTCTCTCTTGAAACAATAAATATACAAGTTAAATATGATATGCAAAGTTTGTAGAATAAATTAAAAGTATGATTTATTCCAAGAATCTTAAAATTGTACTCCCTTATATTTAACAATAACCATAAATTCACGTAATGATAATCATAAACTCACGTAATACATTCACGTAATATAATGATTAAATTTAGTAAAATTCTTATTAAGATTCATAATTATTGATGAAAAATATTGACTAAACATTGCAACACACAGATCAATCATTGAATGAAAACAAAGAAATTATCATAAAAACTTATTAATTTCAATATTATAAATTTGAAGTAACAAAATTATGAAATTCGAATCCTTACTTTAAACAATTTCATAATAATGTTTATTCCTGAGAATGTTATCATTTATTTTTTAAATTCATAATTCATTTTAACATCACAAAAATGTTGGAAGTAATACTAAACTGAGATTATTTATGAGCAATTAATTGCTAATAATGTATAGTAAGATTAATTATACATTTATATGATTAAAATGATATGCAAAATTATGAATGTGATTTTCTTCAAAGTAAAAAAGAAAGTAAAACTTGAAAATGAAATAATTTACATTTCATATAATACATACATTAAAAAATTGAATTAGCGGAAATGCGTCGTTGAAATGCGAGAGATAAATAAATAACGCATAAAAATTTACAATTCAACAATAGTGATAATTGATAAAATTCATTTACATTATTAATTCTATGCTTATATATCAATGCGCAAAGTGTTATTGTCAATAGGATGTGGGACAAGTGCGCCAAATATATCGTTTAATTGTGCAAAAATATGCAGAAAATTAGTGAAATTTGGTTGATTTTATTTAGAAAGTATAAAAAATTTCGAAGAATATCTATGAGATTAATGTAATTTTCTCAAACATTTCTCGTTTTTTTGCAAAAATTTTTATTAATTGAAATGAAAAAATGAATTAATTAATTGAAATTAAGGAAATGAAAGAAAGAATTAAACAGTTGCAATATTACATCCATTAAGGTTACACAGAATTAGCTACTTCAATAATATTATCATCATCAATCGTAATACTTTTCATTCGATTCAAACGTCGACGACGTGCTAAAGCGGATTCAATAACAGGTCGTAGCGGAACTGACGTAGCTGTACTATTTGCTAATGCATGATATGTTTTATCTAATGCATCCTAAAAGTAATTAATAATTGTCAAATCAATAATGAATATTGATAAAAGATCATTTGATCATAAGATCATTCAACATTGTCGTATAAATTTAGCAGAAAATTTATCATTTTGCAACAAAAAAACTGTCCTGAAGAAAAAAACACTTCAAATTATAAAATTTTTATCAAAATTTTGATTAAACTTTTTATTTAGGTTTATTCAATATCTATATTTTAATTAAACAAAAGAAAAAGTTAACAACTAACCATTACTTTAGATGGATCGTTGAATAAATTTAAACGTATTGTTGGTAGTGAATTAAGATGAACAATCCATGGATGAATAAGAATTTGCTTAGCTGAAATACGTTTAGATGGATCAGCATGTAGAAGATATCGGATAAGATCTTTTGCTTGCTCCGAAATATTCATCCAATTTTGACCATTCAATGAATATTTCCCCTCACCAACACGTTTCAAAATTTTTTGTGGCGAATCATTTTCACTTGTGGCAAATGGTGTTTCACTGAAATTGAGAAGCGATTGTAATTTTAAAATAGAACATTCTAAAAAAGCTTTCTTTCGTTTCTTTTCCTTCCTATAATAAATTTTAAGTGCGTTTAAAAACTTATCCTTGCCTTAAACAAATTTCTTAACTGTCAATGAATAACTTATCTATCATTGGAGGAGCTATAATAGACACTCGAATGTGTAATATAATAACAAACTTATGAAGTACTGATAAGTGTGAAACGAAATGTGACTATTCTAAGCCATATGTTTTTTTTTTTTTAATTAAATTAAATTAAGCAAATGATCGTTGATTAAACAAAAATCAAACATACCCACTAAGCATAGTAAAAAGTAGTACTCCAAGTGACCAAACATCACAACTCATATCATAACCCTGCTTTTTCAAAATTTCTGGTGCAACAAATTGAGCTGTATAACATGGTGTCATCAGCAAACCATTTTCAGCACGTAATTGTTTCGCAAATCCAAAATCGATTATCCTAATTGAATCCGGATCAGCTGTTTTTGATGCATACATTATATTGGATGGTTTTAAATCACGATGTACCACCTGAAAAAAAATCTATCTACCTATAAATCTGATTATTTATTATCTTTTAAATAAATAACAAATAAATTAAAAAGTAAATTGAATAGATTATAATTTGAAATATGATATTAAGAAAATAATTGCTTTAAATTACTAAAAGAAATTAGCAAATATCAAAATGAGTTATAAATCATTTAAGCCTAAAATTACGGAAACAAACCTGATTTGAATGTAAATAACTGATAGCATTTGCAAGTCTTAACATTACAGCAGCAGTTTCTCTTTCCGAAAAATGTTTCAACGTAATAATTCTATTTAATAATTCACCACCTCTGCATATCTCTTCCACCAAATAAACATTTAGACTATCTTCATAAACAGCATACAGTTTGACAATATTTGGATGATGTGAGTAACGCCTTAGAATGTCAACTTCCTCTGTCGCATCTCGTCTGCTTTTATCAATTATCCAAAAACAAGAAAAAGAAAGAGAGTTTCATTTTAAATATTATTTTTGTCAATTTTGAATCCAACAAATTTTATCTTCTCGATTTTTTACTTCAACAACTTATCTATTCTATATTATTTTATATTTCATACTATTCTATTCCATTATTTATCTATTTCATACTATTTTATATTTCATACTATTCTATTCTGTTACTTATCTATTTTATACTATTTTATATTTCATACTATTCTATTCTGTTACTTATCTATTTTATACTATTTTATATTTCATACTATTCTATTCTGTTACTTATCTATTTTTTACTATTTTATATTTCATACTATTCTATTCCATTACTTATCTATTTTATACTATTCTATTCTATACTACTTATATATGATATTAATGTATAACTTGAATGATAAATATATTTTAACAAGTTATACTTTCATTGATTTCAAATTAGAAAGCATTTAATGATTTAGCTAATTATTGGAATGGATTGGATTATAACTTCAAAATACGATGAAATGAATTTAGTTTATTTTATACAAATAAAAAAATGATAAATTTCATTAAATCACTTAATAATAATTTTTGTAAAAGTTCTTTTGCTGCAATTTGACTTTACGTTAAAAGCAAATTTTATTTTTTACTTTATCTTTCTTATAGCAACAAAAAATTGTTACGTAAAATATAAAATTAAATTTAATGTGAATTTCAAAATTGAATAAAAATGAAAAGACAAAATTAAAGAAATGAAAATATACCTTCACAGCAAATTCAGCACCTGATTTTCTATGCACACATTTCTTACATAATGAAAACGAGCCAGCTCCAAGATTCTGCAAAATATTTGATAATTTCATTAATTACTTTTAGGCCTTATTTTTTAAATAACATTTCAGATTGAACTATTCACTATTCTATTCATCAGTAGTAAATCTTTGAATCATTAATGAATTAATAAGTTCAGAAAAAGAACAACAAATAAAACTAAACTGTTTTGAATAATAAAAATCGAAATAACAAATCTTTTTGGTATTATTAAAATTCGAAGTTATAATTTAATTTTTGATATGAGAAATTATTTGTTAACCTCAGTGAAATTGTATTCATCGTAAATATGCGTTTTCTCAGCTCCCTGAAGATGCGAAGTGATTACATTAACTGATAAATTTGGCTTATCGCTAGAGAGAATAGAAGGAGCAACATAACTGAAGCCACGAAATAATTCATGAGCAGTTGCAGACGGTGGTAAAGCAGGTGAATCTGTAAAAATTTTTTTTATTAATTAGTAATACCTTTCTTTACTTAATGTGACCGTTATTGTATGAATCATTTCAACTACGATGGATATTTCAATATTTAAAGCAAACATGGGAAAAGAATAATTTATATTAAATATGTGAATATATTTAGATGAATATTATTAGTAAAATATAATACTCTGAAAAGTTACATAAGCTTCCGATGCTTAGAAAAGGAAAGTCCCGTAAGCTATGTGAAGACGTTTTTTTGTGAAAACTAACCGCGAGGTGTTTTTTTCGTGAATTCCGGATCAAAACAACGTGTATGATTACTTGGCGTACATAATGGTTTGAATGGTGGCTGAACTTCTCGCCTATATAATTTTTCCCAATTAATTGTATCGAAGAATGGATGTGATTTGATCTGTTTCACGTCATCAGTTGTACAACCTAAACGATTTGCCGGATTGCGCTTGAAAAGCGCTCTTAGTAAATGTTGTGCTCCAACTGATAATGATTGTGGCATCGTTAATTTTGCCCTATAATTTATTAATTTTAACATGGCAGGCAAAAATTAATCGATAGATCGTATCATTTCAGATAATCAATTTATCAACAATCAATAGCAAAATTAATTTTTCATTTAATTGATAGAATTCCTTTTCAAAATTTTACACATTTTAAAAATATTTATTTGCAGAAGCATAATTTTACCTCAAAATCATTGACATCGTTTCCCTACGATTCGAACCATGAAATGGAAGATCACCAGTTAGCATTTCATACTAAAAATATGATTTCATTTAAATAAACATATCATTCATATCAAAAATGTTAATAAATGAAAATTCATATGAATTCTTCATATATCACTATGAACTATCAAATATAATGATAATCAAGAATTGTTATATAACTTCATTTATTAGTATCGGATCCGGTTAATATTTCTGAACCTTTCAGAGTGGATACATCGAGTGAAAGACGAAAATTTTCAGATATAAATTTTTTAAATGCATCAATATAATATATTGATATATTACCATGATAACACCAAGACTCCACCAATCAGCTGCAACTGTATGCCCTCGTCGATTAACCACTTCTGGTGCCATATATTCTACAGTGCCGCAAAAACTATACGTTTTTCCATTTTTTTCAATCGATTCTTTTGATAGTCCAAAATCCGTAAGATTAATGTGTCCATCAGCATCTAATAAAACGCTGAAAACATTTCAATATGATCTATTAAGGAATGCATTTGTAAAAATTTAAGTAGAGAGAGAGAGAGAGAGAGAGAGAGAAAGAAATAAAGAAAAAAACGAAAATCGAGCAATAAACAAACATGTTTTAAATTATTGAGTGAATGAAGTTTTCATTGTATAAGCATAAAAGAAAATATATAACAAAATATCCATTTTTAATGTAGGTAAATGACACACCTGTCGTATATTTTACTCTCATTAACAGTTAACATAACTACAATTTAATTCAAAGAGAATTAATTTAATTCACATTGCTGTTTTGTTTAAGTAGCAAGCAGGTAATTTAAGTAGTAAGCAGGTAATTTAAATAGTAAGCAGTAAGAAGTTTTTTTCGATAATTTAATTCAATAAGGAATATTTCTAGAGAAAAAGGCAAAATGTTCAAATACAAAGTAATATTAAAAGGGAAATCAAGATTGAATAGAAATAAAATCCTACTAATAATTTCTATTAATAGAATTTATGAGGTAGTAAAGAGATACTTCACATTAAATGATATGCTAAAAAGTTATTTAAGATATCGGAATTTTTGAAGTTAAAAATAATTTAATTCATTAACTTACTTTTCTGGCTTCAAATCTCTATATGCAATACCTAACGAATGTAAATGTCCAAGTGCTAATGCAATCTCTGCCAGATAAAATTTAACATCATCTTCGGTGAACATTATCTGAAGAATGAATTGAATAATTTTGTATTGAATGAATAAATCCTGAAAGTAGCAAAAATCTTGCATAACATCATCATCCAAGAAATGTTACAAAAGGTAAGCAGAAAATACTAGAAACGAAAAGCTTAGAAATTATCTAAAGAGAGAAAGGAAGTTTGATGTTTCAATTCTATTTTCATCATGTGAACAAGGTTGAATTCATTTCGTTATTACCAACGTTACGCAGAATTCTTTCACCGATGATGCAATTAGATATTTGGCGTAGCATTTAGCAAAAACGAAAAATTTAATTTCATATGATAAAATTGAACTCACGATAATATCATCACAATCATGACTAAATCATTTTTACTTAATATTTTTGAATGTTTAATTATTATTATTTTTAAAAATAATGAAAAATGAAATGAATTTATAATTCTGAGAAATAATAACCGAAAAAGAATAGAAAATATTAAAATTAATTTCTTCACAAAAAAAAGAGTTAGAAATTAAAGGAAGCGAAAGATATAATAAAAAGAAATTACGAACTTCTTTAGAAAGACGATTGAAAAGATCGCCACCGGGTAGGAAATCAAGAATTAAGTATAATTTTCCCTCCGTTTGAAATGCTGCAATTGAAAGAATAAATTCAATCAAATATTTATTTATTTCCAGAAAATAGTTTAAATGAAAATATTATGAAGAATAAAGGAAAGAAAATAGGCCTTCGATATCAATTTAAAAGATATCTAATTCCTTTTTTCAGGAAAGAATTTCATAATTTAAACCAAACTTTTTTTTTACCATAATGAAGTCGAACAATGAATGGATGACGAAATCGAGCCAAAATATCACGTTCCGTTTTTGTACGATATCGGTCACGAACTGTGACAAACGTCAATAGTTTCAGTTTAAAAGTAATCAGGAATTTCTGAAGCTATGTTACGGTTCACTTTACGGTCCACTATTAACATATCGGTACTGATTTTTTTCCTTTTTTTTCATGATGAAATTTGCGGAATTCCTTTTTATCATTCAGTATTGCTCAAACCTATTGCATATTCTTAGTAAATAAAAGATATTATCTAAAATAAAAATAAAACGGTAAAAATACCTCTTAGAGTAGCCTTCTTCAAAATTTTCATCGCAAACAATTGTTCAGCATCACGTCCACGTATTTTCTTCACAAGTAACACTTTACCAAATGAACCCTTAAAAATGCGCATATTAGATGTTTGAAAATTTCATCGATCAATAGAGAATTGTATCCTTTCCTTTGATTTGAAGCTATAATCATCCATCATGTATCGCCATTGTCCATTCAAGGGGTTATAATCAAACAGATGAAGAGCGAATGATAACAAAGATAAGATGTCTCAGTGGGATTTTGATGGATGATAATATTATTATATGAAAGATTGAGATAAAATTAAAATAACATCAGAAAGCAATTAAGTTATTTCAGATATTTTAAAAGGTAAAAATAGTAACGATATACATTTCTATTTTATAAAAAAAATAAACATACCTGTCCAATCATGGATAGAAGTTCAAATTGTGATGGATCTGCTTTTTCACCTTCTTTTGCAATTTCAGTAATTTCAATTTCGGATGTCATTGCTATTGATTTTGTGGTAGCTGTACTAGCAATAGCGCTATTAGCAATAGCACAATCATTTGTTGTTGACAATGACACATCCGAATCATCGTTTTCCGACGAATAATGCTGTAAAATATTTGAGCGATATTATTTTACCATTCGTGCAGTAATTAGTAAATTTAGTTAGGAAGTAAAGTAATAGAGAATGTCTGATATTTAAACATTCATTCTATATTAATGACACATCCGAATCATTGTTTTCCGACGAATAAATTTTAATATATAAATTTGAAAAACAAAAAAACAAAATGATAAAATCTGCTTTACGTTTAATTAATTATCAAATACTTGAATCCTAAATCTTTGTAATGAACATAACATTTCCTCTATTAATTTTAAAATAATCAGGAATTTCTGAAGCTGTATTAATTGTTTGCATAGAAACTTGCAATACTTTAGAGTATATATGATGCACAGAAATAACCAGTGTATGGAAGTATGGCCTAACTCTTCAAGTCATATCATTCTTTTCATCAAACACCAGGATCACATTGTTGATTAAAAGAACAGAATTTGTAGTCTGGTTATCGCTTAATAAACTAGTTATTGATATGATAAGTGATGTCCTAATTGATAATAATACCAGATATCAGAAAGGATCAAGAATATAGAAATTCAAACATAACTGATTGATTATAGGTTTCAGATCAACTAATTGCAAGTTTTAGGCCAATCGACTATGGATTTTAGATCATCTGATGAATCTAAATTATCTAATTATAGGTTTTAGATTAACTCATTGTTGGTTTTAAATCATCTGATTATGGAAAGTTGGAAAGTGATTGCAACTTTACCGTTTGCATAATCTTATTGAAATATACATGTTTTAAAATTGCTTAATATCTACATTGTCAAAATCATTTCTTCATTTCAAATCAAGGAAAGGAAAAAATATTAAATTTTCAACTGTATGTCAAGATTGGATACTATATTTGGAGGAGAGACGTTTACAGAAAGATTATTCATATTGTAAACAAATTTTTGGAGAGATATTTGAAGGATAATAAAAATCGATCATATGAAAGAGAGAGAGAGATAGATCATTTCTGTCATTTGAAATCATGAAGTAAGAAATATCAAATTTAATGAAAGAGATTTTTAGCTTGAATGAAATAGGATAAAGTGTTCCAGAAAATATTACATTACATCACTTATCTAGCTGGTAGAATGTTTAATATTTATGAATTCAGAATAATAAAGAAGCATTGCCTTATGGCTGGTAAGTTTTGCATATAAAAAGCATCAAATTATTTCGAAATAATTTATTTGAACTTACATCTTGAATTTTGATTGTTTTACGGACAGTGTTGTTATTATCCCAGGGAACATCGCATAATGGGGCTAATGGCATATCCCAATGCAATTGATTTTCTTTGTTTCAAAGTTCGTTCTCGATTCTTACCATAAAACTACTCATAAATGAATTTAAAGTAGCTAATACTAAAAGAAACGTAAAATTTCGAAAAATAGACAATAAAGAAATAGGCATAAATTTGATGCTGGCAACAATGGGAGAATTATGTTGGGGAAATATAAATGTTGAAACAATTGATGGAACATTTTGATATACAACATATTTTAATAACATTCAAAATTTGTTGCAAGTTGAAAGAAAAAAAAACTATGAAAATAATGAATCATTTCAAAGTATGTGAATTTGTTATAAACTTTTCGTTCATTTTCTTTTCTTTTAAAAAAGAATACCAAAATCTGATTTTGTTGATAATAATTTTCTCATGGAATAAACAATTATTTTTGGATAGGTATAGAAAATATATGGGAAAACTATGATTTGATGATTTGAAAGAAAATCAATTCCAAAATGATAATTATTTTGCAAATGCCTAAAGTTAATCAGACATATGTAGAAATGAGTTTTCTTTTCATGAATTTAAATGACAGCCTGTATTCATTCCGTTTGATTGAAATTTTCATCTCATACTACAATTACATTAATTGAGATGAAGTTCATAGAAAATATCGATTTATGGAATTGTATGAATAATATTAAGCATAGAATTAAAAAACGCTTCTGCTTCTTCGCCCATTATTCAATGTTAATTAACGGAAGAGTATGGAAGGATGAAATATCAAAAGCCCATATGTCTTCTCAAGTTCAATTCCTTCAACGCAAAAAAAATTATCGTATTTCTATGGTTGATATTATTACTTGATATAACTCCATAAATCAATATTTTCTATAAACTTCATCTCAATCAATGTAATTGCAGTAATGAGATGAAAATTTCAATCAAAAGGAATGAATACAGGCTGTCATTTAAATTTATGAAAAGACTCATTTCTGCATATGCCTGATTAACTTTAGGCATTTGCGAAATAATTATCAGTTTGAAATTGATTTTCTTTCAAATCATCAAATCACAGTTTTCCCATATGTTTTCTATACCTATCCAAAAATAATTGATTATTTCATGAGAAAGTAATTGCCTCAAAAGACATTCTTTAAATCCTCAGGTGTTGTTAGTTAAAATGATTGATACAAAAGATATTATATGATATTTTGTAAAATCAATAATATCAATTATCGGATCGATTACTAATCATGCGAAAGAGTTTCTCCTACAATTTCATTATTGATTTCAATTTTTGATAAATGAGAAATAATGCTGTAACATTCAATTTGAAATTATTTGCAGCAGAAAAGAAAAGATACTCCTTAGAGAATACCAAGCAAACAATATGCAAATTAATTCAATTTTTCTGGAGACAATGTAATGGAATGAGGAAGTTTATAGATCGACTCAATAAATCGATTTTGTTTAATCGATTAAATCAATAAATCGATTTTATTTAATCGATTTAAATCAATAAGTCGATTTTATTTAATTGACAGTCGCAAATTTTTCCAATTAAAAACTAACAATTATAGCAGTGAAACATAAAAATTTCAATTGGAAATTTCTTTCTTATGACGTAATAAAAATGATTCATCCCCCAGTGTTCAATTAAAGACAAACATTAGTACCAATACCACAAGAGATAGCAAATTTAACTAATAACATAGATTTTCCCGAAACTAGCAATAATGATTTAGCAGTGAGAGAAAGAGAGAGAGAGAGAGAGAGAAATCTGAAGAGTGGTACATTTAGATTAAATGCAAATTTTGATAGAAATAATGAAAATAACAAAATTCTCTCTCTCTAACTTCTCTGCAAAGCAACTATTGATCTTTTTAAGTACAACAAAATGAAATAGAACTAAGCTCACCGTATCTTAGCAATATTAGTATGTAATCTAAAATAATATATTTTACTAGAAATTCCACTTAACTCTAAAATCATCATCTATTGGAAAAGTTTATTTCCCCCTTTATTTTCATTTATGTTAATCATCACAATAAATAAATCATGAAATTAAACTTTTTCCTTTTGAATCATTCCGATATTAACTTAATTCAATAGTATGCATGTAAGCAGCAAAAATCATTACTACTCGTGAGAGTATAATAATTAGAAAAAATTAATTAATTCATTTCGTTTAAATTATTTCGATCCTAAAGTCATTGAATTAATAAAAGTTTCAATTTCAACGAAGTGCAACAAATGCAACAAAATTTCAACGAAGTGCAACAAAATTTTTAATGTATGAAAAAGATGAAACTCTCAGGCATTTATAATATTCAAAAATGATGCAATGATATATGAGTTTATTACGCTTCATTGAAATCGAAAATCAAAATTTTATTTGATTATAAAAATGATACAACAAAAATGACCGGTCATTGAGAGTATGAATCATTTAAAAACATTTCAACATATAGGACATTAAATTGTCGATGTTTGAACCTGTCCAATCTTAACCAGTCAATAACACAACAACAGTTAACCTTTGGCCTCATTAACACTTTCAGGAATATAATTACCGGATCGGAGCAATATGCTCTAATTGTGACATACATACACATTGGAAGAGAAACATAAACATCGATATTTTATGTTCTATCCGCTATCATCATCGCCTATATATTTTATATTTATTATGGAAACGAAACAAGTTCATAAAGAAGGGGAAGAGATTTGAGGATAGCAACCAGCCATCAATCGCGCGTTTCATTACTAATGTGACAACTGCCATCATTACCGTCCCTTTTTGTTGCAACGATGATGTCAATTTCTAACATTTCAAAGATGACATTTTCTTGCAAACTCATCCTTTCCTGTATTTTCGCTAAAAAATTGTTTCTTGCAGGTTTTATCTAAACCTATAGACTATACAGACAGATGCGCATTCAGATATACACATGCGCTCCATTTTCATACTTACACACTCACACCCACACACACATACACATTTGCATCAAAAGTTGTCGGATACAGATTATGGATGGGTAAGATGGAAGGAATTAAAATATGAAAGTATGATCACGGCTTAATGAAAGATCGTAGAATGATCACAAAAGTTAAATCGAAATTTTGAAAAGTGAAAATAATTTCAGGAAAAGATATGCGTTTCAATTTTGGAATGAATTTTAAAACAATGTCTAATTAGTTCATTCGAAACATCTAATATTTTATAAAATTAGATGATAATTAATTAGAAAATAAAAAGGAAAGAGAAGAATAGATGAGCGAGAATTATCATCAGTTGATATGATATGATAAAGAAAAAAAAAGGATAGAAAGTTGGCAATTACTACGCTTGCAGAAACTTTAATAGAAAGAAAAAAACCCTCAGGTATTAATCATTCCAATTAATAAGTTATCAAATGTATCAAACAATGATAGGTGTAAGAAAGAATGATTGGATGAGAATTCCATTCAAACATTTCGAATATTTGATGCGTCATAAAAAAGTGACGTAAAAAACGTTCTATCACTTTTGCCTACACGTAAAATCAATCATTTGTTACATTCTGTAAAATTGTAATTCTTTCTTCAATAGATATATCTATCTGATCGTAATGGAAAACTCGAGTTGAAATAAGAAGAGATATATATGTTCTTTGTATGCCCTATTATTAAATGAAGAAAATATTCCTTTAAAGGGTCCAGAATTTGAACCTGATCATGAAAGATGAATCGATTGATCGAAATATAGAAAATGAAAGAGGATAGAAATGAGTATACTTTCATTTAATTTAATACGATATGTTTAAAGGTTGCGTTGAAGATTAGACAGCATTTTGTAAAATGATTTAAGAAAAAAAGGGACAAGGATAATTGTTTAATTTGCTGCTCATTAAGTTGTTAACTAAAGATTGTTAAAGCATCCTACACTTTCTCTAAGCTATCATTTCCACAGTAATAATATTTTTAAACTATCATTAACAATAATATCTCTAAGCTATCACTTGTTTAATAATGATATCTCTAAGCAATCATTTGCTTAGTAATGATATATCTAATCTATCATTTGCTTAATAATGATAAAAGTAAGAAAGCAGTGATAAAAGTAAAAGAGTATGAGAAGTATAGAAAGCTAACTAAATAAATAAAAATATTAAAATGACAGAGACATATTTATGAAAGTTGAATTGTTTAAAATAAACAGTAATAAAAGATGAAAAACTAAGCTAATTGTAAAATACAGTGATAAAAATAAATGATAGAAATAAACAGAATAGAATAAAAAATATTAAAAGAGATAAATGAAATGTCGGAAATAGTTGTGGAATATATGGGATGAAGAGAGAGAGAGAGAGAGAGAGAGAAAGGGAGAAAGAGAGAGAATGAGAAAATGATAGATCGAAAAACAATTTAATCAATGTGATAATGATAATAATAATATCTTCAGTGAATTATACTCCTATCAATACAGAAGCATTAACCCCTCCCTTTCCTCCCACTCGCCAGTAATACATATTATATCCAATTTCAATTGCAATATCTGAACGGAAATGGCATTGAATAACGAGTTGGGATGAATGACAACAGCCTTATCAGTGACCTGATTAAATAGAATACCTTAGATGGCATTGTAGAATCCTGTGGAATGTATTTACATTACAATATTTTCACTAATCCTAATTATGATTAACTGATAAAGTTTTATTAATTCCACTGTTAAATTCTTTAAATACTTCATTATTTTGAGTTCCTAAATGAAATAAGAATACATATATATTAACACTTGGCTCTTAGCTTATCTCTAACGCTTATTGTCCATTTTAGACCAACTTTGAGTGTCCTAAATAATGAGAATGAAGAGATATAGCAAGTTGGAATTCAACCCCATTTTATCATACAGACATTCACGTAAAGGCAGATGTCCTTCAACTTATGCCCACAGATTGTTGACATTAAGGCTCATTCGCGATATTATTGTTGACATATTATTATTTATTCTCATCTTATGTAATCTATCCGATATTCTATGATCTATATGATGTAGAAGGAATCAATTTGATTAATTAGCTAAAAGTAATTTCATTTAATCAAACTCCTTAACCAATTCTTATAAGCCCCCTTAATCAATTATAACCCCTTAACTAATTCTTATAAGCGGTGAAATAAAAGTTCGGAATACATTATGTTAACATTTTAAAAAGGCATTCCATTTGGTGATGTTTTCATCACTTTCGGAAATATTCAAAGAGATGAAAGAGAAATCAATCATATAAACTAAGATTTCAAGTCAGCGTATTTTCATTAAAAATTAAAATTCAAATATAATTGCTGCTCTCAACAAAGCTTTCCTTCCCCCTATTTTTTCAAGGTATGAATTTACTGAAATCCAAAGATTATTTCACATACGTTAAGTACGATTTAGACTAACCTATTTTAATATGAAGTGGAAAGTCTGGAAAGCTGAATTCGTAACTTCTACGGAACAATCTAGTGATATTGTAACTGAAAGGTCGAAATCGATAAAGTTTTATATAAAATCATATTAGTAATAAACTTTTTTACCTTTCAACAAAGATCGCTGTGTTATTACCACCGTGCGACAATATCACTGAATGATTTTTAATATATCAAAATAAAAAGAAAACTATTTGATAATAGTTTGCATTTCTCTCCATTTATTCCTCCCATTAGCATTCTTGAATGTAAGAAAGATACTGTCAATAAGTAAGTGAAAAAAAATTGAAAGATGAAATTTCCCTTGAAAAACTATACGGAAAGTTACATATTGAAATATAGACTGATGAATTTGGCAGGAAATATTTGCTGATGAACTTAGCAGGAAATATTTGCTTTTCCGGTTCAACAAACATTCAAAATAATTTTATGTAAAAACATCGAGTAAACAACAACTGAATGTAGCATATTTGTGATAATAGCAGTGTTTAAAATGATACGGGCACAGTTGTTGACAGTGTATAAAATTAATTCATAATTAATAAAAGTGAAGAAAGCACATTCAAAAACAAAAAAAGAAAAAACGAGTAGTAAACATTGAGAAAGCTAATAATAATCAATTGAATAATTATTTTCAGGTAATTAAATTTTCAATTTTTCTACTTCAATTTTATACTCTCTCCTATCTATTTTACTCCCGGAATAGAATAATTATTTGTAGAACAATAACTTCTATCCTCCTTTTTTCTTCTTGAAATAATATTGAAAAGAAAATGTGAAATATGAAGAAGTTAGCAGTAAAGTTAAATTATTTCTAATTTGCGGAAAATGTAGAAGAAGGTAAGATGGATGGATGGATGGATGGATGGAAAATGTAGAAGAAGCTAAGGTGGATGAATGAATGGGATGGATGTGGAAAGAAAAAGCTGGAGAGAAGGAATGGTAAACATTTTTCTTTTTTTGAAAGATTTTCAATGAGGCAGTAAAAAGTGGAAAATTGATATTAGACAAAACAACTAATGATGGAGATGAAAATACGGAATTCAATCATGAAAGCGCCATAACGTAATAATTGGATATAACAAAATGGATGTGATGTTGAAATATGATAATTTCAATAATTTAATAAAGCTCAAATTACTGGGATGATTTTAATCAATGATAGCATTTGATATTTTTGTTTAGAGAAATGATAGTTGAAAAAAAATTGCTATAAATTTTTTGAAAAAAAATAAAGAAAGAATTTCATAATGAATATTCTATACAACAACACAAATACTGTAAAAATGTATACGAAACATTCATTTGATGTAAAAATCAAAAATAAAAATTTAAATTCAAAAAATAAAAATTAAAGTACAAATAAATTTTTCTTCTTCTCTTTTAAATGAACCAATCAATAACCGGTATATCCTTTTCTTTTTCTTTTAACTTTAAATAATCAATAATTTGTAGGAAATTTCAAATTGGATAAGTTATAATTAAGCTCAGTAAAATCAAATGCAGCATTTGAAAAATACACGAAGAATTCCTAATGAAAGCATACATATATATAACATATTTTTGTAACAACAACAACAAAAACAACAACAACAATTAGCAAATATTATTGCTCGAGCAAAATCAAAAAAAAAAAATCGAAGGTAAGGATGAAAATAAGCTAAAGTAGTAATTAGCATAAAAATTTTTCATCTTATTGTTATACATTATATGGTTATGCTTAATGTTCGAGCAATAAATTATCATTTTGTACCTAAAAATACATTTGAAAAAAAAGGGTACACAAGATAGAGATATTTTAAAATGTTTTAAAAAGAAAATAGCTGCAACAATTGTAAATTGCGTAATCTATAAAGTATTCATTAATACAACAAATGTAAAATGTAAAATGAGACCAATTGGAAGATATGCAATTTTATTTCATTTCTCTCGTTTACCATATATGTCTGCTAAATTATTAAAGCGTGGACCCCATTTTTCAACCTGAAAATTAATAAAAGTATATCTAATCTATAATATATCTAATCTTATACAGCAATGCTAATATATCTAGTCCATAGTATATCTAATCTTATACAGCAATGTTAGTATATCTAATCTTATATAGTAATGCTAGTATATCTAATCTTATATAGCAATGCTTTTAGGTAGTATTTTTAGGATGTAAAATGTAATACTGTGGAATAATCACGGATTGTATCATTTATAAAATGACGCCATGATAAATGATAAAGTTACAAGTTGCAGTTAATGAGTGATTTATGATGAATATGAATTGTGAGAAAGATGCTAATTGTAAATATAAAAGGTGAACTTTGCTTATTGTTTATTGATGAGATTCAAAAAAAAGTAATATAATGAAACTTGAAATTATCGTTATTAGATGATGGTTCTATTAAATGATGAAAAGTCTCCCAGGCTATTAGTACTAAACTTCATTCATTCGAACAATTCTAATTATTAAATTTAAATCAGGTAAAGGTGCACTTACTTCTTGATCAAGATTGCCTGGACGAACTGTATCATCACTTGATTCAAGCGACTCAAGCGTTATTCTGAAATTCGTAAATTTTAAGTAAATTGTAGCGAATGTTATTCCAGTACAGTACTCTGCCAGCTTACCTGAGACTTCACATCTTGCACAAAATACTTAGAGAATGTATTTTATGAAAAAAGATTTCCGAAAGCTTTCCAGGTATATTTTATGGAAAAAAACTTCCAAGGCCTGTATAATTTTTGTGCACTAATAGAAGAGAAGAAATGAAATGTGAAGAAATAAGAAATGATAAACCTTGATATATTATCGCCTTCATCATCATAAATTCGTAATTCATCGTATGGTGCTGTAGCATCCGGATCTGCTTCCAAATTCTTGATTCTGCTATTAAGTTTATCATCTAAATTACAAAACATGAATCAAAATTTTTGTGGAAGATATTAATCGTTAAGCTCTCGCATTAAATTGTTACATTGCAGCTAACCAAACATATAGTAGCATCTTTTGGCTTCAAATTTTTAAAACATTTTCCTTACATCTTATGATACTCCCCTCCTCTCAGTGTAAACTAACTTTATGAATTAAATATTTTTACGATATCGGAAAGATTATAATAGAAGCACAAATATTTGCAAATAAAATATAACATTTAAATTTCTAAAATTTTACTTCTTAAAAAAATTTATTTTCAAGATCAAACCTATTTGTGTACGTTGTATGGGATATGCAGGTTGTGCATATCCATTGATACCATTTTCCTCAATTGGTATTACCGGTTTACGAAGATTGGTAATATTATATTGATCATTATCCGCTTCACCACCTCCTTCGATATCATATGGTCTCAAATTATCACGATTTAATTCTTCTGGACGAACAGGCTCAAATGGTGGTGTATGGCGTCGAGTGTACACAACCATTAATAGCACCATCACTGTAAGAATTATTTTATTTAATTTATAATGTTGACAAATAATATAGTAAAAAAAGAAAGCATAATAGAGATTTGTTTTAAAAAATTCTAAAAATATATTTATTTCAAATTATATTTCAATTTCTTTTTTTGGACAAAAAAACAATTAACATACTAATTAATAAAATTAGACAAATAAGGATGAGAATGATTGCAGGACTGGAAATACCAAGACTGCTAACGGCTAATGTTTCACCGCAACCGACCAATTCACCATTAGCTCCAAGAAGTACCTATAGAAAAGAAAAATTTCATTAATTCATCAATTCAATTTCAGTATCTAAAAGTTTCTCTCTTAAAATCTCTTATATAATGTAAAATAAAATGTTTCATTCCATAAACATTTAATTCGCTAATTAGAGGAAGATAAAAGAGAGCAAAATAATAATAAATCTACCTGTGCTCCTTCTGGACATGTACAGAATGGTCCTTTCCAAAAATCAACACAAACAAAGGAGCCACCGCAATATGCAAATCCAACATTAGCACATGTCTTTCGTTGTGAACAACCAATATCGACACCTTTCGATTGCTTCACAGATATAATCGAATCACTATCACTTTGGCTATAACTCTCGCTTGACCATTCTTCGCTTTTCATCAATGGTAAATTAATATGCTGCCAACGAAATGTACCAACACAACCCTGGAAGATAATGTTCAATCAAATTCCATCACTTATAGCTATCATTATCATAAAGATTTTATCAATCATGTAACTAGTGAAATATTCATTTCATAATTAGATGAACGTTATCTGAAAGTGACCGTTATATTCCGTACAAAATCAATCAATAAGGTATGATAGACAGTGATAAATTAGTTTATTTAATTTATCTATAATATATATCAGTTACTAATGTAGTACTGTTGGTATTTAAAAAAGATGACTGAAATTTCCCATTACAAAATTAAAAGAAATTTGAAAAGAACGCTTACTCGGAAGTCTTTAGAACCTTGAACATTTAATGCTCCAAGAAGTAATTCATTTATATCGATTTGATATGGAATTTTGAATGGATTTAAAGGTAATACTCCATGATAAACACCATCAACTGATAAGGAAGCACTGAAAAAAGATGACAAACTGATAGAGATGATTATTGTTTGAAAGTTTCTATTCTATCATATTATCGATAGCAATAAATATCAAAACTTAATTTTTTAAGCAAAAACAAAAGAAAAGTAAACAAACCGAACAGGACTTCGGGAAAATTGCATCCAATAAGAGATATTATCTTGAAGATGTAAATCGGTCAACTGTAATTCTACTGACGCACTAGAAGCGATAGCACCAGAACTAGAACTGAAGTCAAATTTTGCTGTTGGTGAATAATTTTCCATTGAGGTACTGATATACTGAAAGAACAAAAAATTATCACATAATTCAAAACTTTACTTTTGCAATGAAAGATAAATATAATTTGGGAAAAAGGTAGCAAATAAAATCATGCCATCTTCATAAGTTGAATTTGTCAACAAAGATTTCCTCTTCTTCCTCCTCATAAGAATAAATACAGCCTATTTTAGGTCAACTCTAATTTGATAATCTTTGAAGTTATTACACAATTCAATGGAAATTCAAAAATATAGTTTAGAGCTAAATTGTACTACAAATTTTGCATCGGCAAAATGATAATAAATTTATTGAGCATAATAATAATCAGTTTGCTTTTCAACCATTTAAATTTAAACAACAAATGAAAGTTTAAAAATTTCTAACTTACTTTTTCACCAGCGCTAGCAAAACCAAGCTCTCCGATTCCAGTATTAGTTTTACCAGGTAAGAATAGCACATCTACATTTGTTGTCTTATCTTCCAGACCCACTTTTACATCATACTCGACAAATGATCCAGGACCAAATTCAACCCATTTAAATGAACTGTCGCATCGATCACCACCATATCCTGGGTCACATAAACACTTCGGCACACTCGACTGTAAAAAAGATCACACTTCAGAAATTTTATTGAGAACAATTTTAAATTGGAAGTAAATAATTTGGCATATATTTTCAATCTTCCCTAAAATATTCATTAATGCAAGTAATCTCAACATTTCATTTACATTCGTTTCAAAAAAACAATTAAATAGTTGAAAAGCAGATTTTCAGATTTGAAGCATAATGGAATGTCGTCATTCTGCTCCCATTTGCTTAATCCATAATATTTATGGAAAACTTATCGAAAAACTTACCACTAAATCAGAAATGCATTCCCCATGAACACAATATGGTCCTCTGATATCATTTATACCACAAGCTCCTTCCGTAAGTTCACAACCGATTTGTGAATATTCTTCATTAGCGTAATCCGGAACACCCAAATCGTAGAGTTCATTATTCACTATCAGATTACGTATGCAACCTTTAAAATTCATCGCAAAAGCTGTTACAACTTTTGGATAGCGATCATTTCCGGATAGCGGTGCAACTCCACCAATCTAAATTTTAATGAAAATGATAATGTAGTATTATTACCACTTTAAATAGCTTACAAACCATGTTGAAAGTTTTAGACTAATTTTTGAACTTAAATGATATCACATAAGATCATGATCATTAAGATTGACAACCTTTCAATCGTAATGCTTTAATGACATTATTTTATAATTATGTGTTTAAAACAGCAATATCACTGATTGCATCATTTGTATTTTCCTGTGAATAAAAATTTAAATAAAACACCTGTAAAGGTGCGACAACATTTAACCGCTCATCATCATCAGTTGTTATTTTAACACGACGACAAGATGAATCATCAGTGCCAGTAATTTTATCACCTGTTCCAACTGGCACAATCGTATAGCAATTATCAATTACTAATTCAATAAGCTGAAATGTGTAATAATTATAAACACATTGTATCACTGAAATCATTCGAATCATTACTTATTGCTATTTAATTTCTAATAAAAATTGAACTTTTAACAGAAATAAAATTACGATAGTAAATACAAACTTTGCCATCCTGGGACAATGTAACTGTGTGCCATTTTCCATCATTAAGAGCATCAGAGCTAGGAATTTGTATCGGATTAGCGACGATACCATTAAACGTGAAATCCGCTTGTATACGACCACCAACTAATCGTAAGATCACATAATCTTTATAGTCTGCTCGTCCATATGTATTATTATCACCACTCATTGGTCCATTATACAACAATAAACCATTAGCTTGTCTGAAATTCGATATTCCTTTTTTTCTCGATTTATGATAAAATCAATTATCAGTTGATTATCGTTTTGATGAAGAATCAAATAGCTTATTGAAATTTGAATATGGAATTTGAATATAATCCTGTTCAATTTTGAATATGCTATAAACTTTTTTAATGCTTCAAAAAGATTTTATGGTAATTGAGAAGAAAAAATTTTTTCTTGATAACACTTAGTAATGATACGTAAATAGTAATGATACGGCAATAGTAATGTTACGCTGCCATGAATAATTAGAAAAAGTTAGCATTGTGAAATAATACATCAATTAATGATGCTAATTAATCAGACATATGAAGTTATAAATTAATGAGGAGAAAATATATAACTCAATAATATCAAAAGTTGAAAAAGTCGAAATTAAAAAAGTCAAAATTATTACAATTTGAAATGATAGTATGATTACTTACTTAGTCAAAAATTGTAGAGAGATATTTAGTGATGTACATGCTGGAACTGGTTTAAACCAAGCAAATCCTTTTCCATCAAATGAACGTGTGGTACCTTGACAGCGTAAACCTTTCAGGAAATTATTACGGCATTCACAAAAGAATCCGGGATATGTATTATGGCAAACACCGGAATTAAGACACAAATTAGCTTGACATGATGAAGGTGGTGTAAAAACTGGGCAAATGCAAGTATCATTAGACCATGCATTTACACCAACTACAACTGTTTGATTAGCCGATACTACGATACCTTGCTGAAAATATAAACACATAAGATTTAGTTGTCAAGAACAAATAATGAATCGCTTGATTAATCATTTTAGAACAGGAAATGTAAATCGCTTAATAAATCATTTTAAAGTAGGAAATATAAACAGTTTAATTATTTTTACACATAATTTATCATTTTCTTTCTTTCCCTTTGTTAAATGTTATATTTATAAAATCCTGATTTCAATCATTGTGTAATTTCAGGATTTTTATATCTTATCAATTAATGTCAAATTTTTTAAATTAAAATTTATAAATTTCTAAGAAAAATATTTGATGAATATATACCTCATTGGCATGATTAACAGTTTGGCATCCTTTATCACATACAGTAAATTTGCACATATCAATACCAGCTGATACAATTTTAGCACCAATTGCTTGTTCTAATTCACTACGATGTTGTGCAATTAAACCATTCAACAAAATTGGACTTTTATATGGTGTACCGTGAGCGGAAAAACGAACATCTAATACAGGTGGAGCATAATTTTGCAGTACCACTTGATCTTGCTGAAAATTTTTTTAATTTAAACTTTTTGAACTTTCAATGGTACTATGTTACATATTTTATAAATATGCTAATGGCATTTTGTGAATTAGGTCAGCACCCTTATGCAATATTCTGCCTATATTTCTAAAATAGAATTAAAATGAATATCATTAGTTTTTATTTATTTATTACCTAAGCAACGTTTATATTACGGTAAATACATTTTCAAACTATTTGAATAAAGAAAATCTTCGCTAAAATTGCAAATAATATAAAGAAAAGAAATGAAATGTGTTTTTAGGAAATGATAACCTTGATAGAAAAAACATCCAATTCAGAATTCCCATCTAAGTATTCATTCATTTTATTCATAAATCGACTCATCGGACTGGAACCGGTTGAATCAACTCTTATAAAACTTTCCGGTGAATCAAGTTCTTTAGGTGATAGCATAATTCTTATTGCACCCTGTAAATTATCAAATTTTTTAAATTTGATTCTTCAAATTTTCAACTGAAGATGAATTTTGAATCAAAAGAATTAATTTTTCCCTTAGATTAACTACATTTAGAAGAATGAAAAAAAAAAGAACCTGATTTTCGAAAGCAGCAGCTGGTACCTTCTTTACAATTACATTAACAACACCTTGTGCTTTCTCATTCCGTGCTTTATCAATAACATTGGCAGTCATTTGATATGTTCGAGGTGGCATATTAGCATCCATTGTGATCTTAAAAAAATTCAAAAATAATAAAACAAAAAAATTATATTTTGAAAACTTATGTATAAAAAGTTGGCTGTCAACTTTATCTATAAATAGCTAAGAGTTAAAATTCATTAGACTATCAAACCGAATGACTACTTCAATTCAATATTTCAACACCATTAAATCTTAGTTTCCATTCCTGCTTTCCTATCTGTCCCCTTGCATGCTTATCAATATAATTCTGTATATAAATTATTTATATATAGTAAATGAATGATGATTTTTTTATTACTATTCAAATTAAGACTTATTATGAAAATGTCTAAATCGATTTCCGATTTCTGAATTGCAGAAAATGAATGATTCAAAAAACTGAATTTATTGAAAACTAAAATACAAAATTACCTCTCCATTAATAGCAAGATTGAAGCCAGGTAAAGATTTACCAGGAGCCCATGAGAAAACTTTATCCGGCAAATCCCAGTCATCTTTATCCTCAACGTATACGCGTCCAATTACTGTTTTTTCAAGATGTCCCAAATAACTATTTACAAAAATAGTCATTTCGCCATCTCTCATTGGACTATCATTCTAAATTAAACATTAATAGTTTAATATATCCCAAATTGAATTTAAATTATCGCTAATCGATAAAGGATCAAAAAATCGATTTTTATAATTGGAAGAAACTAATTTACATTTGAAAGATATTGACAAGCACTTCTTTAAAAGACTTTTTGAATTATCAGCAAATTATTTATACCTCAAAATAGGTTATTATCATTCTGAGATATAACAGCTAAATTTTTTAAACTGTTTTCTGAATCCTATATAGGTTCATTAATAAGAAAAACACCATATACGATATTTGATATTTGATCTTCCACTTTCATTAATTCAAACATAAAGGATTCAGCAATGAATGATGGCACTTGAAATAAATTAATATTCCTCTTACTCCTATCCTAATTGCAAAAGGATGAGAAAATGAACAATGGGAACTCATAATTTTTCATTTATGAATGACCTTTGACCCAGAATCATGCATTGAAAGACTCTACAATATATAAAGCAAGATATATCATTCCATAGGAATTTAGGGACTGCAATTTGTTTATTAAACTACTTTATCGAACGAGAGAAAATTTACTGATAATATTTTTAATTATAGATTACATGTTTCTTATCAAAATAAATAATTCATTTTTCTTAATTGTCAAAGTGATCTTCAGCTAAACATTTTACATAAACACCGAAATCATTAATCCCGATCTGATATCCATTAATGATATCCGTTATTGTAATACAAAAAGTGTTATAAAATTATTTTATGGAAGATAAATTATGCAAAGGAGTTGTAAATTTTGTGGTACTTTTTACAAGAACTAAGCAAATTTCTATTCTCTTTCTTCTTTTTATTGAATTTTTAATGAATAAAAGATCAAAGAAAATGATAGGATTAGAAAGTACTATTGCGCCTTCTTTTCAATTACAAAGGTCACTCTCCGCCTTTGCATTAAATAAAGTGAAGAAAATACGACTATCAACAATTATCATAGCCTTTTTCAGATAAATGGTATATTGAATTTTTGATCGGGTGATTTTTTTTTGGAAAGAAAGGAAAGTGAAATTTAGACGAAAAAAAGGTTACCATGAAATTTGATACTTGAAATGACCTTTTAGTCACTACAGATGTCCTTTTTTGGTGAAGTTTTATTATTTGATTTATAACTCATTTCTCAATAAGAATTATTTATTCAATGAAAAATCTACCTCATCACCAATAATAATGTAAACAGAACGTTCCGATTGCAAACCACCAGAATCTTTTAGAATTATTGGAATTTCAAGTTGTTTCCCGGGAAATTCAGCTTCACGATCTAATCGTTGTTTTGCTGTAACAATCATCGAACCATTACCATTATCACCATCTGAAATAAATAAAATTTTGAATTTTATGTTAATTGTTAATTTCATCTCTTTTAATTTCTTTGACTAAAGCTAACTGAATACGCTATTTAGGATCAAGTCAGATATCAGAAAATCCGACGCAGTCGTTTGTTGCGAAATCAAAAATTTATTCGTAACAACAAAATGACTTCGCAAATGCTATAATATCAGCAAAATGCTATAAACTATAGTTAAGATCAGTAAGAAATCAAAAGTAAGGTTTACTCAAACAATGAAAGTAAACCAAAACTTACTTTTGTTATAGACAACATTTAGATATGCGCCAAACTTAAAATCTGATGCTAATTTCATCATGAAAGGTGGTCCATTCTCACTGAAACAAAAAACGAATTTTTTAATAATCAATTTTCTACCCATATAACATATAAATATTTCTCATTGAACTGTGCTGCTTCTGAAAACTGTAAAACTATTACATTCAAATCGAATTTGAAAACAAGAATTTAGGATATAAAATTTGAGTAATTCAAAAGGAGCTTTATAGAGAGTAAACAAATAAATAATGTAAATCTTTGTCAAAAAAATGAAGAAATAAATTTCGAATGTACATGGTATCCGGATCATATGCCCGTATCTCACATGTTGGTTGCATTGTTGGATCGGTATTTTCCATGAAAACACATGGATTTGGTACCGTATATGGTACCGGTGCATTATCATTAACATCCTGCACATAAATTTCAATCGTTTGAAATCCAACATTTCCAGCTGAAAGTCAACAATAATAATAATAAATCAGTCAATTTATATTATGAGGAATGAGTGTTGAAATTGTATGGAAAAGATAAAGAGACAGCGAAGAAATGAAAGTTACAATGCGTTAAAATGATATTACGTCTTTGCATTATTACGATGTAATGATATCACATCAAACTTGACAGTGAATGAACCAATGGAATTAAGTATGATTTACGAACTAAATATTTTTATAAATTATAAACAAACCAGAATCAAATGCCTCAATAACTAAATTATATTTCGGAATCTCTTCACGATCAAGCCGTTGAGCAACACGCAGCGATCCACTTTGATCAATTGAAAATTGACGTTTTGGATCAGTTTGACGATTAATTCGAAATCTAAAAGTAAATGTTATAAATTAATAATTTCAATTAATCTAATATTATATATAATTGGAATTCAAAAATGTGGAATTTCAAAAATCAATGGAATTCAACTTGTTCATATTCCTTTGTCAATTCTTTCAGTAATGAAATTTTTCATTAAAATGCTAACAACATCCCTTCTTCGTTCATATTACTTATTTCATTTTCCTTCTTCGAAAATTTGCATTGCATATTTGCAGTATGGAATACTTCATTAGCGTTCTTATTTGATCAATGCATGTAGCAAGCATATACGATAGATTTAATTAGTTTCAATCGCCTTTTGCAATGATGTCGTCTATACTTACAGCATTGCTCATTTCCCACATTTTATTGATATAAATTATTAGACATTCAAATAAGCTTGCCAATTTTAATAACTAATCTATTCTTATTCCTAACATATGATTAACTCATTTTCTCTCTTTTTCCCAACAAAATGCATATTTTTTCATATTATTTCATCTATCCTAAAAATGGGATAGGATAGGATAGGGTTGTAATTTTAGGATAGTAATTAGTATAAGTTAAGTAGATAGGATAGGATAGGATTGTAATTTTAGGATACTAATTAGTATAGGTTAAGTAAGACTTCGTGGAAAAATTATTTTGTTGATTCATTCAGCAAACGTTCATACTTTATACCAAATAAATATTTTACATTGTCTTTGAAACATATTATTATTATACTGCTAATTATAATATGGAATGTATGGTTAATAAATTGTCTAATAATTAAAATTTATATATTTTTCTAAATTTTCAAAATGTTGTGCATTTAATGATGAATCTATTGTTTTAAATTTTTATTTACTTATTAACTAATAATCATTAAAATTTCTTATATATCTCTCATAGTATTTCTGAATTTCAGACATTTTCTATTTTTTTAACAAATTCGAAATTTTTGTAATTTTTCCAAAAAAATTTTTTCTTTTACTTTATAACAACAACAACAACAACAACATATAAAATGTGAATTTACAGTCTTCGAGAATACATTGAATTTTTTAATACTAAAGTTTAGTCATCCAAAATGCCAATATCATCTAAACTCATTTATGCAACGAATGCGCAGATGTCTTAGCTTAAGTAGTTTACCTAATAATAATAATAATAATAGATTGATGTAATTCAGTTCTGTGTATATGGCGAGACTATCTTCCGCCAATATCCTCTTTTTTTTTCTCATCTAAATAAGCCTAATAAACGGTGTCGAAGAACTGGAAATGTTTATAAGAGCCTTCTGCTTTATTCTACACAGACACAGACACACACACATGTAAATATTCATTCATGATTATTACACAGTATGATGGTAATATAATCTGAAACATATGGCGGTAATTGTTTTTGTTGTGTTGAAAGGTGGTGTAAATTGAATTGTGAGAAAATATTTAACAACGCCGTCACTAATTAAATATGAAAATAATTTATGACTATTTCAATAATTGTAAAAGTTTGTCGAACCATAGCTGAACAATGTGTCCATTATGCCTATTACCTGTTCAGATTTATGAGTAGGACGGTAATTAAGTGATTGTTAGGATATATCAAAGCAATGAAAAAATTTAATTTCTTCAGGGAGTGCTAAAAAAAATGATCTTATCTCTTCGGGACTAGGAAAATATTGCTAAACTATTATGAAGGCCACACAACAGGTGTGATATCGGGATGTGTAGATAATTACAACATTCAATGTTAGAGAGATAATGCTCGTTTCTTCGTCAAACGGTAAGCACTATTTAAGTGTCTCCATGACCTCTATAATTAAAGGTCAACATAATTTGAGAGCCCATAAAGAGCAATGATTTCTATTTGCATTTCCATTAGGGAAATTGTCAAGCGAGCTTATCATAACTAATTAATAAATAACTTCAATTTCTCATTTTTCTAATCTTCTTCCTCCCTAACAATAAAGGGATTTGCCTTCTTTTGTTGAGCATAAATAATCTGAATCCAAAATTCAGACTTCTTGTTAAGCATAAATAATCTGAATCCAAATTTTGGAGTATTTCATATTATGTGCAAAATTTCTGCTCTCAAACTCTATATCAATCAATGCAATCGTAATGATAAAAGGAAAAAACTTCTTGTTAAATTTTCTCTTCCATTGGAACTATCTATTTATCGTTCCAAACAAGGAACAGTTGTCACTTATAGTTTTAGCCAAACAAAAAAAAAGGAAGAAAAATGAACGTCTGAAAATAAACCGATGAAAGATGTATATCAACGAAGTGTGGAACAGTTGTTGTAAATTATTCACTAAACAAAATATTCAAATTTTTCCTCTCTGAAAAGCGGGAATAGAATAAAATAGTTGGATCGGTTGAGTAACTAACTGTATTACGATAATTAATGAGAACAATCAGAATTGATCAGACCACATCTGCTTATAATTTTTTTCACTTCCAAACTTTCTCACTATAATTTATTCTTTTTCTCTTCATTACTAATTAGACGAATAATTGTTCATCAGCTAATTGTTTATTTTATCATTTAAAGGAAATCATAATTAACTAAGGTAAATTATCCATATTATCTTCCCTTGATTTGTAACTTATTACATAATATAAACGTATATTTGTCTTCGAAATAAGTGAGGATGAATTATAAGAAAGTAGAAATGATGACAGAAATGGAAATGTTATCATCGTAAAGCATCAAAATTAATCAACTTCCCTAGTCATTAATTAAAATATTCGAATTTTAGAAAAACGTTCGAAATTTTCTTTCCTCTCTACCTTCATCTAACATTTCGTAAATGATCGCAATTTCAGATAATTATCATTAGAAAGGAGCGATCTTCTCACAATCACAACTACAATCGTTTATCGATCGTTTCAAATCATACACATACACACCTTCAGTGATTCATCAATGACTACTAACTCAAGGTCAAAATTTCAAACATTCCGCAAAAAAGAATTCAAACATTTGACTAATTTTACCATTTAAATTTTAACAAAAGGTTAGGAAGCGCTTTTGTCAAGACTATATGCGCTGAAATATTTTTTGTTCTCAAGAGCAAATAATATGTATGTGTGCATATGTGCCTGCGTTTGTGTGTGTGTGTGTGTGTGTGTGTAGAAGAGGTCAAATAAAATAATGTTATAAAGGTTAAGAGTATATTTTACTCGTGTATACATATACTGTAAAGGTTAAATAATAACTGGGACAAAAGTGCGCTGAGATTTAAAAACTTTTATAGTAAACCGATCAGATAGATTTAATAAGAATTTTTCTAAAAAAAATAAACTTACGTTAAATTATGTGTCATTGAATCCTTATCTTCGGCACGAAATGTTGCAATCAGTGTGCCTACAGCTATATCTTCCGTTAAATTCTTGGTCAGTCTTACCACAATATCACGCTGAGTTTTACCGGCAAAATTCAGGAATCGTGATTGGCTAGGATAGGAACCGAGGAAGAACTGTGATAACTCTTGGCCTTCTACTACTACTGATGTACACAAAGCAATCAGAAGAAGCCTCCAAAGTGTAGAATTTTTTGAATTTCTCGAGACAATTTTAATGTTATGATCACTCATATGACCCACAGATGAGCGAATGTGTTCTTGCTGAAAATTCCGCAGCGGAACAGAATTGGTTATAACACTGATACTAGTAGACTCACACTGCGGTATCATTTGCGTCCGCATCCTGAACCGTGAATTTGGCAACCTCTTTGCCGAGCCATGCATTTTCATGTAGCTGGACATGCTGTGGTCCGTTGATGACCGGCGGATTGTCATTCCTATCCTGGAGCTCGATGTGCAATTTCGTGGTTGCGTAGTATCGGCCATCATAAACACGAATGCCGAACGTGAAACCGTCACGTTGTGTTGGATCTTCGTAATCCAACGGCTATAAAAAAACGCTGTTTCGTAGAATGCTTTCAGGAATGCAAATCTAAGGGATAGATTTTTTTTTTCAACTTGACGTTGCTTCAGGAAAATAACTTTTCTTCCGGATTTCGTTGTATCGATGAAGAAGTAGAATGTAGAAAATTGACTTTCCAAAATGAGACAGAATAAAAATGAGTCAGAATAAAGATGAGAGAGGAAAAATGATTATGATGAAGCTTTTTGAAATGAAAAAAGCCGTAAACAGGCACAAAGAATTTGGGTAGTATCTGTTGATGTGGCAGTGAATCAGCTTATTTTGTTATTATCGGTGGATAGTTCATACAGGTGTTGCTGTTGCTGATGTTGATGACAATGACGATGATGATGATGATGATGATGATGAAGGCACTTGATGATGATAAAGCAGGCGGTAGTGGAGAAATATACGGAAAGAGACAGTTCTTTTTACTGATAAGGTGGATGGAAAAGATAAAAGTCTTTTAGAAGTAACGGAAGACTAATGCGATTTTAACATGGCAGTGAAAATGAACCCTAGCATAAATTCTCTCCTCTTCAGATTCTTCCAAACTTTCCAAAAATTCAAATATTTGAATGAGTCCTGAAAAATAAAGAAAACAGTAAATTATGAGATAATAGCGAAATAATTTATTTTAAAGACGCGTTTGTAAGTTGTAAAGAACGAACGTTGAGAAATATTATGTGATAATACAAGTGATACTATTGATATTTCCTCCCTTAATTTTACATATATATCAAATTATCAGATAAAAAGAGCAAATTTTAGTTAATCAATCAAATGTGATAAGTTATAGGAGGAGCAAATATAAGGAAGAAATGAGTGAAAAGCAAATACTTCTCTGATAATAATTGATAATACTTCACTGATAATAATTGATAATATTAGTAATTTGTAACATTTTAACATTTGTTAGCAGAAGATGTTATATTCTTATTAATGTAAAATAATTGCCAAAATGATATAAAGAGAAAATTTTCCATCGCTTTCTTTTTTGTTTCGAAAAATGAATAATGAAATTGACGGAAGAAACATTTTGGCTATTTATGGTTGTGAAGTAAAAATTGAATTTATAAAGTACAATTTGAATGAAACGAAAAATTGCATTTAAAACGGAGGAAAACGTAATTTTAGTAAAAGTGAAAAGAAAACCAATTTGTTGTAGTTTTTTAAAAACGAATGATTTCATTTTTGAGAACAAAAAAATTAAACGACAAAATTATGAGAAGTTTTCTCTTTCTTTCTGACAGATATAAATAATTTGAAAATGAGAAAATATTAAAGAAAATTAATAAAAATAATATCAAAGGGCGCATAAACTAAATATAACGCTAAATAGTTATCTATATACATAGTTAATGCACGCTAAATAGTATATATATATATATATATATATAGTTAAACAAACCGTTATGCAACAAAAATTACAAGAAGGGATCGTCGTTTAATAATTCTAATAACTTTCAGTATAACTTGGTGGAAGTTGCGAGATTATACGAGAATTGAAGAAGAATGCATTCTAAATTTACAATTCTATCTTCGCTCACTCCATTAATCATTTACAATATATTTGTCTTGACCAGACATACATATCGATATATCGTAATTGTAGTACGATATTCCCCAATAAACTTCCCGCATCATTTATTTACGATAGGTTTCTTTTCGATTTCTTTTGTTGAATGCATTGTTTTATTGCTATTAAACTCTCAATAAAACTATGCAAATTTTTATAAAAAATAACGACTTTTCGTTACAATAATTGTTATTGTTAGAATTAATTAATTATAATCATTAGAATTAATTATCATTCGCAGCCTAACGGAGTAATATATTTGTAAATTGTAATATGATAACACTCCTAAATGAGCTAAACATTGATCTCTCGAATGATATATATTCATTAAATTTACACGATAAAGGAAAGCTATATTGATGACTATCGTTCTTTCAAATATATAACGAAATACTGAATTTCGATTTCAAATTTTCAGTGCAACTATTTTTAATTACATGTAAATTGCTAAAAATAATTACAATTGATCAGGATAAATGTATACATATCATTAATAGCTTTTTCATGAAATGATTAATTGAAAACAAATTGCTATTTATTAAAAAGATGAAATTATTGAAGTAAATGAATTGAGCGATAAAAGAAAATGAGAACAGCTAAAGTATGAAATTTCTGCAAATTGAGGAAGTTAAAATAATTTGTAGAAAAAAAGGTACCTAAAATAGAAAGACGCAAATGAAAAAGAAGAAATAAGCATTTGATATGTAAAAAAAATTTTTGTTGAATTACAGGTTTAAAATAAAAAAAGTGTTCGTTCAATTTTCAATTTAACAAAATGACAATTTATCCATTACATGCTAACAATTATAGCAATAAGATGATGTCAATGAAAAATGAGAATAATTAATAGGAACATATATACATGTGTATGCAATATGCATCATTGCATGCTAATAATTTTCACAATATTCTTTTCACCTTGAAAACTATTATAGGTAGCTATTTTCATCAATAACTTATAAATCTATCAATTAACTTTCCTACAATGTCGTAAAAAAAAATTAAAAGAGAAATTTTCTTTTTAGGATATTTCGGCTAAATTTTTTTCCCATTTTTTTATATTGCTTTTTTCTACGTTCAACGGTGAGAAAGATTACGACGATGACAACGATGAAGAAATGTACGACGATGACAATGATGAAGAAATGAAGTAATAAAATGAAATTTGAAGTGATGTGTTAAGCGAGAAAAAAATTTCATTAGAATAATCTCTATCGATCCTTAATATTCAAATGAAAAACAACAACAGCACCTTTCTTGAAAGTTCTTCTCTTCACTATAACCAAAAAAACATCAGACAAGATCTAAACTTTCAACTCAAAATGATATTACATTAGATAATTTTATATTATATATATATCTCAAATGAAAAACAAATTCGCTATAATCAAACATCAGACAAAATCTAAACCTTGACATTACATTTGATTATTTTATATTACATATATATATATATATATATCATTGAAAGTAACAACTTCTAAAATGCATTCATAAAATATTCTGGAAATGAAAAATAAAATCAAAAAAGAAATTTATTTCCTAAAATTCAAATGGCTAATTTAATTTAATTTCAATATCAAAAGAAGAAGAAGAAGAAGAATGAAAAAGAATTAATGGATAGTTGAAAATAATGGAATGAAATATTGTTGTGTATAAGGATAGAGAAAAAAAGTTAACTATTTCACGGATCATTTATATGAAATGTTAAATTCCCAATCAAAAATTTAGGAGAGAAGATTTTTTCAGTTGAAATGTTTTGATGAGAAAAAAAAGAAATTAATAATAGTAGTAGTAGTAGTAGTAGCCGTAATAATGCAATATCTTCATTTCATCGATCACCGATCGATCACAAATCGCACACTTCGACAAAAAGAAAAAAGCAAAGCGTAGGAATTATGTGAAATTTTCACACTCAATTGATCGTATACAACAATATTTTAAGAAATATTTATAATGAATTTAAAATGAATGAATTTTTAAGAAAAGAAAATTTTGTGTGAGAAGAAAAGAAAAATGAAAATTTAAAAATGAATGAAAAATTTTTTGATAAAAGAAATTTCTTTTATATATAATTATCATATTATCCGATAGTATCCTTTTTATTGTTGACAAAACTAAAATAATAATAATAATAATAATAATAATAATAATAATTTAATGCTGTGAAGTAAAATTATAATAAAAGGATACCTGAAATTAATTTGAAATCACAAATTATATAGTTGACAGATGATTGAATATCTTCTTAAATTCAAGTATAAAATCAGAATATGAAGAGAAGAATGATGCAAAAAATTTCATCTCCCCTCTGGCAACTCTAACTATGCTGGAACTAAATAAATGATATGAGAATTTGAAAATTACCATAAATTATTATTTGAAAACAAAATATGATGAAAAATTGCCATAGAAGGATTATCAGCTAATAACATTTATGAGAATGAAAAATCTATTATTATATTTTGCGGAAATTTTTATCACAAAGAAAGTTTGAAATATTATTGAAAGGCTTTTTTCATCGCAGCTCTATACTAAACATCTAGGAAACTAGGCATGTTAAGAGAACTGGTGCAATTTGCGAATGCAAACTTTCCCCTAAAAAATGATATCATTTTTTGAATTTCAAATTTTCTTTGTGCAAAAATTCACTTAGCATAAATTACAAAGGCTAATAATTAGAGTTGATGAATTGTTTGAAGCTAATTTAATTAGATGAAAATAATTTCATTCCATTAGTTACATTCAATATTTTCGTGTTATATGAAAGAAAAGAAAAAGTTGTAAATGAGAAGTTGTAAGATGAAGATTTTGCAAAATAATGATCATAAATTAGCCAGAGAAACTTAGCATATTTGAGGATCTAATGACCCTAAACTATCAAGCCTAGAACTATTTCATAATTTTCACAACTGTTACTCAACGGGAGATTTATCATTGTTTGAAACTAATAAAAAATTGAACCCCTTTACTCTTTTTAGCATATATCGGCGAATACAAAGGTTGTCAGGATAAAAAGCATTTGAGTGCTTCAAAGATATTTGTATAAGTAAGCTGGAATGATTTATCTTGGCTATACACCACTGGCACGAAGTTTTATGGAAGAAGTTTTTTATATAATCGATTATTCCAATAAAACAATTTATCATTTCATCATAAAAGAAAGCCTGTATCATTATTATTCAATACTTGCTATCTAAGTACCGTAAGAGATAAAGTGCATCTTTTTTGCTTTTTAAATTAAAAATAAGTGAAGACTGGAAAGAGTCAAAGTACATTCATAAATATGATAATGATATCAACTTAGAGAAATTATCAATTAGTATAATAATGATATCAATTTACAGAAATTATCAATTAGTATGATAATGATATCAATTTACAGAAATTATCAATTTCTTAGTAAAATGATATTTGAATTTTAAAAATCAAAGATAGAATTGAAATTTTATAAGTAGAAAATGATCCGTATATCCGTATAACAAAATGAAATTCAATCTGATAAAAGAGAAATGACATTTTTCCGCATGAGAGGATGTCCTATGCTATCTTTCTTCTTTCATTACTATATCTGCACTTCACTGCCTCCCCGCCAAAAAAAAATTGCTGTAGCAAAGATTTCTTAAAAGTTTGAGAGATACCAGAAGATGCATGACGGGACGAGCATGAAATGGAAAATGCTGCTCGGGTTCGGATTTATGTAAGGAAAGAATGGTCAGGGAGTGGACAGCTGCTTTGTCTGTGTCTCTGTGCATTAATGTCGGGCATCCCTTCGCAGACTCTCTGATAGAGAGGCAGAAAGAGGGAATGAGGACGGACGGTTGCGAGGATATGAATGAGAATGTACGGGGCGGAACGGGGCGGGTTCGTTGAGAGGCCCACTTTTTTCATCAATACCTTTTCACGATGAATAGTAAATACATCGAAGTTTGAAAAACGCAAAAAATATTTGAGAGGTATGAATGTGAAACAGAACGTGTTGCAAAAGCAGAACGTAAAACAACGCGTTTCAAAACGGAACGTGAAACAACGTGTTTCAAAGCAGAACGTGAAAAGAATGTGAAACTTAAAGTATAATCTGAATATTAAAGTAAGATCGTTGAGAGTATCTATTAAGTTAACACTTGCTTCTATTGCTTGATAATAGAAATCTAAATTATCATTTAAGAAATATTCACTAAAATTAGCTCTATCTTTATTCTTTATCGGTTATGACCTTAAAAAGGTCACCATACAATGTGAATGTGAAGTGCTGCGGTCACTTGTTTCTATTTCAAATGAATTTTATGAAATTTAACAGTACTTTATCTTACAAATCTTTTAGGGAAGAATGTTAATCTCAAGGACGTGATGATTTCTTTTTCAATAAACGAAATGGCACTTGACCTTTTGAAAAGTCTAGCCAACTGACTGACTGACTGACATTCACCACCAATGAGCCTCCCTATCAGAAAAATGCTATATTTTATCTATGAATTTGGTATCAAAAAAAAAAATGTCGACTTGAAATCTTTTCAAATTTATTAAAATTTGAATTCAGTTCACTCCAAAAGTTTTTTTGTTATAATTATAGGCTATAAATAATAATTAATTATTAATGATTAACAAATTTCATTGTATTATCAAAAGAAACAATAAAGAGTGAAAAATGTTTTCATTTATGATAGTAATGATTGTGGTTGATATGGTATGATATGATATGATATGATAAATAGTACTCTTTACATTTTACTTACTTCTTTTTTTCTTTTCCAGTAATATTTTGTGAGAAAAATTGTAGGACGAAAATTGTTTGTAAATAACTAAAATTTAATGATCCATAAAAATTTGAGCAAAGAAAAAGACAAAGAGAAAAGGAAGAGAGAATCTATTATTGATAGATCGAATTTGAATAAAAGAACTAAAAATATTCAATTGAAATATGATGACTCTTCATATCTTTTCTTTCTTTCTCTGTCCCTCTCTCTCTCTCTCTCTCTTTCTTCTTTTTCAATCTTTTATACATTCCTTTTTAATGAATGAATAAATAGAGGGAAAAAGAAGCCAAGTAAAGAGAAATTTGTATTTTAGAAAAAACGGAAGAGGCATTTAGGCCCACTTCATCTTTTATTTCAGCTTGAAAAATTGTCTAAGGACTGTTTGTATTAGCATGAAATTGATAGATTCGTTGCTACCAGCCACTTATTTCATTTCATCACTTCTGCTACCAATATATTGACCAAATAATTGGAACAAGAAAGAAAGAAAAAAAGACAGCAAACCGATTAGTTGCATATTAATTAAACAACAATAGCGTTGATATGTATAATCTGTCATTTACATAATTCATCTGATTTTGTCGGTATATCATTTTGCAATCACACTACAGCTTATTGAAAGGCTTGAGATAAGCAAAACATAACTGCTGAAAATATGCTAAACACAGGAAATATAATCGGAAAAAAGAAAGGAGAGAAAGAGAGAGAGAGAGAGGGAGAGAGGGAGAAAGAGAGACTAATAAAGGGATAATACAGAAAACAAAATTCTGAAAAATGATATGAATAAGGAAAAAATGTTAATATTAAAATATTTATATTTTTATGATTACAATAAAAAAAGAAAAGGATCGGAGGAGAATTTCTTCCCTTCTTTTTGTCACAGAATTATTTGAAAGTAAAAGAAATAGTTTTGAATTTTATTTAAAGAGTGAAATTTTGAATGGCTAAAAACACTAAGTTGATTTATGAAAGGAAATTTAGATCAATGAATGAAAAAGCCTTTTTGCAAAATGGCATGATCGATAAACTTTTCATTTTCATCATTTACGAGACGAAACGTACATTTCATTTCTTTTATTTCATTTGAGAAAAAATATTAGCACCTGAAATTTGTAGAATTTTAGGGACAGAAAAAAGAAATAAGAGAAAAGCCATTTCATTTTTTTAATTTCATTTAAGAAAAAAATATTGACACCTGAAATTTGTAAAATTTTAGGAACAGAAAAAAGTTTCCAGTTTTTTGAAGTGATCATTTTAAGAGGTGAAATTTTTAACGAATATTATATTCATCGATGAATTTGATATCAATAAAAAAAAATGTAGATTTGAAATTTTTTCAAATTTATTGAAATTTGAATTTAATCCATTTCAAAAATTATTTTTTTGTTATAACCCCCTGTAAATGGTAATTAATTATTAATGATTAATAAATTTCATCATATTTTTCAAAAAAAAAAAAGCAATAAAAAGTGAAAAATGATTCATTTATGATAGTAATGAATAATGATTATGGGAGATATGATATGATAAGTAGCACTAATTGCTCTATCAAATAAAATTGATAAAATAGATAAGCATTCATTCATTTGTTGATAATATTTTTCATTTTAAAAAAACTACATAATTAAATGAGTGATAATTGGCAAAAATTTGCTTTCTCAAATTTAAAATTTATAAATTTAAAACTTCAATTTCTTGTTTACTATCTATGTAAAATCTTATTTACTATCTACAACTCATCAATTGCTCGCTCAAGCTTAGTATTTCATCTTCGATATTTGAAGATAGTACTATAAAATTCATTCAACAACCAACTTATAAACTACTTCAGAAAGACATTTTCATATGAAAGATAAACGATTGTAAATGTTACTAAATTTCTCTCTCATTCTCATATGTATTTACGATAACGGAAATTGCATTAAAGAAGACAAATATAAAATCGAAATCTTTTCAAAATTTATTAAAATTTGAATTTAATCATTTCAAAAATTATCAATTGTTAAAATTATTAATTATTAATTATTTTAATTAATCATTTTTAAAAATCCAATCATTTTTATTAATCATTTTTAAATAATCCAAATATTTCTTAATGATATGATAAATGATTTAATATAAAATAGAATAAGTTTAAGAAAATTTTTCATATCAAAAAAATTGTGAAAAAAAGAATGAAAAAAATGATTGATCTCTTTTTTTAAGATAATAGCATCACTTTGTTTAATTAAATTAACAATTTAAAAAAGAATGATTTCAATTTTAAAAAAGAAAAGGTAGCTGCTACCTTTTGTTCATAAATGATTCGATTACAACTGACAATCTTAAGTATCGAATAACAAAAAAAATGAGAAATAAATTTTAGTCGACAAGGACATTTGCATGATACATGCACCACACAGATACCCACATATCACAACAACTCTAAATATCACTTACAATTCATTCAACAAATATAGAAATGGAAGGAATTACGACGGAGAGAGGAAAAAAATGAATAGCAATAAAAATTTAGTGACATTTTTAAAAGCAATGAAATAATCTTTGAATGCTTTTTAAATGATTTCATACGATGTATCATCATCCGATGAATTGATGATCATTTTGATAGAAAACTATAACTGTGAAGAAATAAATGCGACGCCGTCGTATATGTCCTCGAATTTATGATAATGGTTGATGGCTGATCGCTGATGGGTTGTTGGCAACAAAAGAGGACCCTCACAAAACTAACCATCCTTTAAAATTCATCAATGATTTAGTTTTCTTTTAGGATGATAGAAAATGCATTAAATTTTATATAAATGAAATTTCAAATTTTCCATTTTAATAAATCTTTATATTTAAATGTATATATCATTGAATGAATGTGTTTGAATGATAAGAATGAATTATTTCATTGATTTTTCATTAAATAAATTTCACTTAGTTGATATGAATTGTGATAAAGAAATTTGAATGAGTCATATAATTCATTAATTTAGCAAATAAAATTTTTGTTAAATTATCTTACACATGTTGAATCATACTACAAAATTCAATCTTTTGTTTACGTTAAATTTCGTTAAATTAGATATCTATCTTACATCATTGAATCACACAACACCGTTGAATCATACTGCATACATAATTCAATTTGTTTGTATTAAGTTTCATCACCTTTTTTTATTAGCTTTCTTAAAAGGTGATAGAGTGAATTGAATTGAAGAGTTAGACGAATACTTCATAATACGATTATTACCATATTTAGAAGAAGAAATTATTGCTTCAATTATTATCTCTATAACTGAGTACCACGTAAGTACCAATAATTACAAATGAATGTAAATTTGCAAGATGAAGGAATTGTTTCGCTTTTAAATGAATAATTTTTTAAATTTGAAAATTTATAAAAGAAATTATTATGAATTTCAATTAGTAATTTCAATTATATGCCAACGAATTGGAACAAATTTATAATGATAATAATATCAAATGTAAAAATTACATAAGTACATCATAGATATATATATCCATGATATTAGAATGATAGAAATCAATTAATTTTTCCAATTAAAATAACACAATAGATGAATGATTCATAACTTGCAACTTTCTAAATTAGTAAATGCATTTCGAAATTTCTATTTGAAAGAATTTTAAAGAAAAAATTTTTCTAAAATAAGAAATATGAAGAGCGAAAATAGAGGGTTAATGATGAGAGAAACAGGTCTATAATTGTTATTATGTCCTCAATTTGAGCATTCTCTTGCACATTTCAAAAAATTACAAAAATCATTCAATTTTGTGAATCTAAACGGAAATAGAAAAATACTTAGATGTAATTGATTTTTGAAGAAGTTAATCGATTGGGATATGATAATAACTTTTGATGATTGAAATCTTTTCCTGTAGAAGCATAAAATACAACAATGTTTATTCAAATCAAATATCCGTATCCGTATCCGTATCTAAATAAACAACAATGGTAGAATGATGAGATATCAGATTATATTTTAAGATAATTCCCTTTACTATCCAGAATAACATCAATAATCTTGAAATAATAATTAAAATATTGTAATTCATTTTTTGAATTACTAAGAAGTTAATCGATTGGATATATTGAAAGGTAAATTTTTAATGATTAAAATTTTTTCCTGTAGGAGCTTAAACTACAGCGATGTTTATTTAAATCAATTATCCGTATCCGTATCTAAGTAAACAGCAGTAGTAGAATGATGAGATACCGGATCATATTTTAGGATAATTACTACCTTACTATCCGGAATTAGTATCAATAATTTTGGAGATATAATTAAAATGTTTTTGTGTAACATT